GCGAAGATACCATCTGTGAAGATTGTATATGTATGGAGAATCGTGTTCTCGGTCTGGTTATTCGCTATGTTATTTATGCGCAACGCAATGCTTTCGGGTTCGGTTTGTCCGTTTTGTGTTTAAACTTTTAATGTATAAATAGTTGAATACCTTCTGCGCCCACCGCGTATCAATTTCGGTCAACCTTTGTTCATATTTTAACTAATTACCTCCCTGAATTCAGAAGATGACCAGCCCATGTCCCCCTGCAGTCCCTCATTTGGTATTCTTCCATGTGCTCCCATGCCAATCTGCCGACGCTTCTTTGTCGAATTTCTAATCCTGATTGAACCTTCGATTTCATGCAGCAATGCATTGCCAAAAGACAGCCCTGGCACCACCATGGCCAAGGTGTCCCTCCCTCTCCACACATTCCAGCTAGTACAGCACTGTATCACTGCAAATGATGTTGCGGAAGCGAACGAGCTACCAGTATCTCATGCGGTGATTCCTGCGCATGCCTACAAGGTGCTCAAGCATTTAGTAGTTCGATCGCCACACAAAAATCGGTGTTTGTCACTTTAGCGGGACGAGGCTGTTTACTGTTCTAAAGCAAAAGCCTAAAACAAATGGCATCTGGCACGCGCGTTCGTCAACGCTTTATTTTGGTTATTTACTTCGAATCTTTTATACGGGGAAGGCCTGTGCGTGCGGCGCCGGCGTCTGCAGCATTGACTGTACAGAATTTTTGGTCTACGCGGGGTCTGATCCCGGAGACGATCTGCCAGAACCTAGCCATAGACAGCTTCCTTGTAAAGCACGTGATGGAAATCGCTAATATCTCTACAAGCTTCACATCATCATTATCGTCATCATCATCTAACCACAGTCGCATAGGCACTTGTCTACAAGCGTCTTTTATGTGAACCGGCCAGGTATAGGCAATTGTGTGCAGGCGGCAACGTCTTCTCTGTGGTCCACACTGAGGAGAACAAATACGTATCTATTTATCTTTCTATAAAGTCAAGAGCTCTATTCTTGTGGGTGGAGCCTCTTTTGCATTTCTTACGTTAGAACAGACCATAGTGCAACCAATACGGCAGGTGTTCCGCTTGGCCAGGAGATTGAAGCAAGAGGCGTCTTGGATCGCATTCTCTATCGAAGTCAAACATCTAGAGTAACCGACACGTCAAGAAATGCATGACTGTTCACGCTCCTTGCTTCGTGGTTTCTTCTTCGGTGTTTTTATCAGCGGATGCAACAATCGCTACGGCCGATAACGAGGTGCTCATGGACTGGCTACGTCCTGCATTTCTGAAACTCTCAATCACAGACGAGTAGCCCTGGACACCATCCCGGGCGAAGAACCGACGACGCTGGAGGTGTGGGCCCGTTCAAGGGGCACTGGTCCGCTACATCCTGATGCACATCAGGGATACGGGAAGCCATCAGATCATCTAGGCTACGCCCATAGTCATTAACCTTCCTAACTTCCAGGCCCTACACTGTTAAAAAATGTTCCGTCATATTGCAGAACTGACCTACGCTAACTCTTGATGCTACTGTAACTTTCTGTAATACCACCGAAGCCGTAGCTGACTGTTTACCCCCGCCTCAGGAGCACACTGCGCGACGCTGCTTTGCATAAACAGGCGATTGCTTTTTTTTTCTCCTAGAATTAAAATGCTGTCTACAAAATTGTTATTATGGTTTGAAGCCCTCATTCGGGGCGCTAACCTAAACGGTAAAAATTGGTGTACGCCAATATCATTTCGAAGGGCAGTACTTCCCGGACTTTGCGGAGCGCAAGTTCGTCTGCTTCTTGTGCAAAGGCTGTGATGATGTCAAAACGCCAAGCTCTAATTGGCTGATTAAAAAAAAATAGTGGGTAAACCTTAAGGCATCTAGCGTTGGGGTCTACCCACTATCCTTTCTGTCAAAGCCAATCAGAGTCCGGCATCGTTCTGACGTCACCGCAACTCCTCCGCAAGAAGCAGACGACTTGCTTCCCGTATAGTCCGCGGACTATACATATTTGAAAGTTGAAATTTTACGCGGCCGATGCAGGAGTTTTGTTCTTCAAGAGTAAACTCTAAAAAAAACGTCGTGCGTCTACTTTCCCGCACTGCACTCGGAAAGCCAATCACCGCAACTTACGGAGGCAGCTCAGCGAATGACGATGCTGAAGCGTATGTTTAGACCAAAATGCGCAGTCTGAGTTGTGACATTAAGCAATGCAAAACGTCACGCTTGCATTGCTTAATGTCACAACTCCCCACCCCCTGTGCCTCTGTAACTTGCGGTAATTGGCTCTCCACGGTGTTGTGTGGGAAAGTATAGGCAGGGGCTTTTTTTAGAGTGATATGACGAGACGTGACAAATTTGTTGGGTGAAAGAGTATGTTAATGGTGATTTATGTGTGATACAACCTTTTTTTGTGAGATGTTATTGATGATTTATGTGAGCTAAGAAAGCATACCGTATTTACTCGAGTAATAGCCGCACTGTTTACCTATACAAAACTATTTGTATGGTCGGCTTTAGCCAATTGGCTAAAACATTTTCTATGGCTGTCTTTAGCATTTTTATGGTCGTATTTATAGGCCTCTTTAGCTTTGTCTATTGCCCTATCACTGTCCAGCTATAGCGCTCTTTAGCTTTTCTAATGGCTGGCTCTCTATACTCCCTATGGTTTTTCTCTTGGTGTCTTTAGCCATATCTATGGTCTGCTGTAGAAGGCTGTATGGGTTTTCCCATGGCTCTCTTCAGCCAGATTTCTGACTGAAGAGAGCTCTACAAAATATTTTCAAGTTCCCTTGACTCTTGAAGGCTACACGGCAGATACCATACATCACTGAACACACAAAAATACACAGCGCACAAGCAGAACAACCCCCCTTCTCCAAATATATGGCAGTCTTATTTTCGAATCCGACTTGGCCGGTGACTACCGTCATTTGTCGCATAAACACGGAGAGGCGGAGCAAATATTACTCGTACGTAATACATTATTTGAATTGTCTCTTGGAATAGCCCCTATCTCTTAATTCAACACCCTGAAAAAAGCAAATGTAGATCATTAGGCGAATTAACTAAAATTTAATAATTGTATTTTTAATAAGTTTGGAATCATGTTGACAATGCAGGCATGAAATGCAGTACACTGGTGCTGAAGATTTCAATTAAGCTATTGCTTGATTTTAGTGTTCGGTGCCAGTGTAATCTATTTTCACTTTTGGGGGTAATAATTCATTTTAATTGTTGCACAAGTATTTCAATGGGTTCTTCAAACAAGCAATATTACTGGCTTTCACGACTCGTTGCAACAGCAGAGAACATATCTTGGGGCATGCTTTGTCACCGGTATTATAGAAATTTAGTATTGCTTTAATTTTATAACCTGGAGGGTTTTTCATAAAAAAGCAAGTGCCGGTAGTGACTTTCTATGGCGTGTAAAGAAAATTTATTGTTTCCCAGTCTTTAGCCTCGGGGTCATAACATTTTCTATAGGCGTTTAAAGAACATTTATTGGCTCCCAATTTTTAGACACGGGACAAATAATTTTCTAAAGGCGGGTAAAGAAATTTTATGGGTTCCCAGTCTTTAGATTCAGAGCCATAAGCTTTCCTATAGGCGGGTAAAGACAATTTATTGCTTCCCAGTCTTTAGAGTTGTGGCCATAGAATTTCCTTTAGGCACGCGAAGAAAATTTATTGGTTCCCCATCTTTAGACCCAGGGCCATAGATTTTTTCTATAGCGGTCTGTAGCTGGTACATTTTTATAGCCGACCATAAAGGGCCACAGGGGGTAATAGCTTGCCATATAATTTTCCATAGACGACCATAGACCATTTTTCTATGGGTATGAAGAAAACCTGAGGGTTCGCTTTTCCGCGGAGTACGCAGATTGCCAATCACCGCGATCGACGGCATTATTCCAGCTGTTTACGGGACAGAGATAACGTCTTCGTGCGAAGATACCATCTGTGAAGATTGTATTTGTATGGAGAATCGTGTTCTCGTACTTGTTATTCGCTATGTTATTTATGCGCAACGCAATGATTGGCTGTATATGTGTTCTGTGGGAAAGTAGACGCAAGGACCTTGTTCATAAATGGTGCGGGTATTACTCGAGTAAATACGATACATTTGTCGGGGTATGCTGCGTATGAGATGATTTTCGTATCGACAAAGCACGGCGTGCGGAGTAGTTTGCACCGGGTGCGGACTATTATCTGATAAATACAGTAACAGTCGTAAACTCGCCGGTGTCGTTTTCACTCTAAATGTCGCGCAGTGTAAAAATCTGAAGTAATTAAGTGTCGTGAAGGGCTTCGATCGACTAGGTGGTAAACCCCCTCGTATGGAAATATATTCTTCTCTCTTACTCGCTCTCGCTCTTTCTCAATGTCTGAATCTAATCAAGGATCTGAATTTTTCCAGAAGGCTAGTTGCACGAAGTTGAAAATATCTAGATCTTCCAAAGGAAGCCTCGAACCAGTCGGTGAGGCGAAAGATGTTCAGTCAGGGCTGGACACATGCTCGGCGTACACATAGTTCCGGAAGAAAGATCTTACGCGTGCTCAGAACGCGATTCAAAACCAACTAAGCAAAGACGGTGGTGCGCAGAAGAAATTAACCTTTTTTTCAAGAAGAGTCCCGCGATGCGCAGGCCCTCTTTACACAACGACGAAAGCTCGGACTTAGGCCTGGTTCACACTCGCGAATCGGCGGGCGAATCTGCAAGAATTCGGCCGCCGGGCATAGCGTCCACTGTGCATCGTCGCGGCCGATCCCGCTTCGGCGGCAGCGGGTTAGCTGCAAGTGCGAACCAGGCCTTACGGTTGGCATCCAGAATGGGACTTGCACTATCTCTCCTCCCTCTTCTCCGCGTCTCATCTGATGCGTGGAGGAGGGAGCAGAGGTAGCGCAGCTCCCCTCCGCGGGACGCCAACCGTAGTTCGAGCTTTCGCCGCTTAATGCCGCCTTTACGTCAAATAGGTCCATTGTCTTCTTAGCGCGCCTGTAACCCTTTGCGTGCCTGGAAGCGGAGCGTATTCCAGCTGACGTCCGATCGATCTGGCAGGAGAATGCATTCCGCACACTGGGAGAAACGAGCTCGCGCAATGCCGATTAGACAAGGCCCTGATCAAGATACGGGGAACGAGCTCGTCTTGTCCCGCGTTTGGCTACCCAGCGTCTCGGGGAGAAAAATCGGCTCGCCGAGATAACAGCGACGCTGCCGCTGAAAACAATCGCGATCGGTGCCGAGGAATCCAGGACGATGCATGTACGTACGCCCACGATGCTTCAACTCTAATTCGTGTTAACTAAACTGTCTTCTAAACCCGAAAGAACAACTAAGCATCGCAGCATGCACGCAGACAGCCGACGTTGTGTAAGTTCATTTCCAGCGTCGCTCTCATGACCCGTTTAAATACAGACAAACCGGGTTCGGGACTCATCCAATTGGGCGTGCGTACGAAACGCGTGCATCCTCGTGAGTTATTTCCATTCCTATATTTCTTAAGGAGAAATCAAGACTCTTTTAACTCGTGGAGTATACAATAGTGATTGAATTACTTGACGAAACTGTTCCATAGTCTTGCGCATATTAAGACCTATAGTACAGATGTCGTCGCTATAACGTTAAGCGCTACGAAGCAGCCGAAAACAGTTGGTCTTCATGTATTTCTACGCGGTATGAAACCCAGTTTAGACCTGGCTGGAGGGGGGATAAAAATGTGGGGGTATGCACGTAGGGGCTGAAGAGGTTCAGACTGTCTCGAACGAGTGTCGCGTAGTCGTCGTGTCCGGTAGTAGGCTTCCCGGCGTTCCCAATCAGTTTGCTTGACCGTTGCTACGAGCGACGCATTTGGTTATCGCCGCATTGTTGACTAGCTGGGAATGAATCAGTACGTTCTTGGCAGGAGGTTGTTGGTTTCAGGGCCATGTCGTCGATAGCTCGTCTCCAAGTCAATACTTCCTCCCCGTTTTCCGGCTAGGAGAGTCGGGGGCGTGCTGTAACGCGCCAATATCTCTTTCTTGAATTTGCTGCGCAAACCAAAAGGTATATATATATATATTTTCGCGGCAGATTTGTATGATGCACCTTCTTCAAATCTATTGCACATTTTGGCCACGTTAGTTGCTAATACTTATTGAAGCGAACCCCCCTCCCCCCCCCCCTTTTTTTTTTTGTTTTTCTTCTGGCTTTAAATCACACATTTTTAATAACTTTACATTATATCCTTCGCTGCTTTATTTTCCGTAGGTTAATTATAAGGTGTTTTTTCTGTTCTTTTGCTTGTTTGAGAATGTGCCTTTAAAGTACATGATTTGGCAACCTTCGCGCATCGGGAGTCTGATTCCATTTTAAAGAAACAATGCAACAATTTTTCTACTTTCAATCAATGCAGTTTTAGATTATTCCTTGACATTCATATCCTATAAAACACGTTCTTTTTTTTCTTTTTTCTACGCAATGGCACTTGCAGTAAAAATATGAAAAAAAGAAAAAAAAAACGAACACCGTTTACCTCCTAAACTCGCAGCCAGAAAAGCAGCCACGTATTTTGGAGCCCATCATATGCCGCCAATGTTTTTAACACAGCCACGCGTTTGCGTTGACAGAGCACAGGGCGCGCTCTGAGTTCTTCTACTCGAATGCATGTCGATTTGATTGTCACGAGCCAAAATGGAATGCTTACGCAGTCTTCCTGTCCACTGAATGAGCACCGTTTAAATATCGTCATCTGCGGTAATCGCAGAGCTGGATGGTGGACTGCTGGAGATCGCATTGTTGGCACTGCCCCCCCAACTCCGTCATCAGGTTGTTGCGAGAGAGAGAGAGAGAGAGAGAGACTGAAAGAAAATGTCCGCTTTTATCCTTGGTATTCCACCGCGACGAAGACGCTTCTTGGTTAGTGGAGTTGCGTTCGAGTGTTCTTGGGTCCCACTAGTGCCAGTAGGCTGGTCTAAAGTGAGAAAAGTTTCTATTTAATACCGTTGCACATACGGCAAGGGAACTTATTAGGAAAGTGTGGACAGGTAGGTACGGGCAAATAAGATGCGGGCCTCTTATTTACCCGCACCTAAGATAAGATGCAGGCATCTTATTTTACACAATATTAACAGTAGAATACTTCCTCTGTCGAGCTAAAGAATAAAAATAAAAATAAAAATAAAAAATAAAATCCGCATGTAACTAAGTCCTTTTCACGTCAGGGTAGAACGTTGCTATGGGTCATTGCAAATATTTATTAGACATCCCCCCCCCCCCCCCCCAAAAAAAAAAAAAAAAAAAAAACGACAGCAGGGTGAGGATTTTTTCTCCCTTCTCTGACTTCGGCAAATTATAAGCACACGTCGCAACAGCCCAGAACGTCTTCTTTTTACTTCGACATTAAAAAGCCCTAGTTCCATACCACTCTAAGAAAACTACATATTTTGTTTAAAACTTATGACTGAGCAAGATAATATATATATATATATATATATATATATATATCTATATATATATATATATCAGGGTGTCGAACCGGAACCGAACCGAACCGAAAACCGGAACCGAACCGGTATTTTTCCGGAACTGAACCCGAACCCGAACCGTTATATTGTTATCGCGATGAACCCGAACCGGAACAGAACCGGAAAAAAAAGTAACGGTTACCGGCTCATGTCAAAACGGTTCGGCCACGCGTTGTTGACAATGAATGTGCTATCAATGCCATTTGTTTTTAAGTGCCGTCAACTGAGTCCTGATACACACCTCGCTTACATATTTTTCTTCTCCACTCAGTCTTAGGAATATAAACGCTGCATCCATAAATCTTGACAAACGCTGCATCCTTTAAACGTCCAGGTAATATAGTGTGCGGTGTAGTTAGTTTTGTGCGAGTGGCGGCCGCTGACGAAAGCCAGCACCACGATGCATCCGGTTTCGTATAGGCACTTAGAAGCTAACATATTTGTGAGACAGCGAACTCTTCTATTTTAATATTTATCCTATTACGTCCTTCTGGTGTTGCGTTCGGTGAAGTGTTTTTCATATTCCGTATCTTGTTTAATGAAAACTTCGTTAAGGGTCTAATTTGAGTTACCGAAGGCTAGTTCAAATAAAGAAAGCTGTATTTTCTCCCCACTGTTCCTTCAATTGCTTACACGCCGAGGTGGCGGGATAGTTAGCGAGTTCTACTTGTAAGTGGGTTTGCTAGGAGGTCGCGGATTTTACAGCTACTGCGTCGGACCCAATTAGATGAAGTCCGAATGCGTAAACGTCGGTGAGGTAACCTTTGAGTGCACATAAAGAAACCATTCCTGGTAGAAATCCCTGATCCCAGTTACACTACGATGTATCCCGTTTCGTATGTGCTGATTTTAGATGTTTTATTTGTAATTTATTTTGATTTTGTCATTTATAATTTCCGAGCCGGTTCGCGAACCGGTTCAGCGCCCCGATCCGGTTCGCGAACCGGTTCGCGAACCGGTTCGAGGATCGAATTAATGGAACCGGAACTGAACCGGAACAAAATAAATTTACCTGAACCTGAACCGTAACCGAACCCGTATTTTTTTCGGTTCGACACACTGATATATATATATATATATATATATATATATATATATATATATATATATATATATATATATATATATATATATATTGCTTAACCACATTTGTATACCACCAACCTACATTTACGTGGTGAATAAGTCTCGTTGCTCGCGAAAACTAATTTTTTTGATCGATTTGAAGTGGGTTTTATTTACTTGACTCATCCGGTAGTTTGTGGGAGTCTGGACAAGGCACCTACCTACCGTCTGAAGAAAGTCCAGATTCTTGTAAAAGACCGTGTTTCGTTTCGTCCGAGAGACCCGTTCCGAGAACAGCAGTGTCTGTGTGAGGTCACAGGACTCTGAAAATGGAAAGGAGCGTGCATTGTCCGTATTTAGGATGCATGGTTTTGGGAATTTACCGGAAAAAGAATATCGATAAATGCATTCTGAATTATTTCTGAGAACCGGTAATTAGATATTCCATCTAATTACTAGAGACCTGAGCGATCATTTGGCGGTTACGATAATTGTGTCATTCATATCTTCGTAAGCATTGTGCCAATGCTGATATAAATGCAGACATCGGTTAGATAACGGTACTCTTCGAGAATGAATAATATCAAAGAGGGTGAAGCAACCAGAGAAACGTCTCGTAGCTTTATACCGCTGCGCTTTTGCTCTAGCACTTTTGAGCACCGTTGCGTGCTTTTTTGCGTAACGTTTTCTTTTGTTCGTTTTTTTTTTTAAATATTGTATTCGGAAGTAACAGTCTGTCCACGTCAGGCGAACACCAAAAATTCTTAATGTATGTATAGACGCTTTACATACTCGCCAGAATCCAACTGCCATTGCTGACCTTCTCCTGTGTTGCAGAGATACCGAGCCACTGAAACGGACGTTGACTAGCGTGCACAAAGAAAAAAAGTGTCGAAGAAACGGACTAATAAAATCTAAAATGGCCTGGCCTGTTGTGATAGTGATGAAGTAAGCGGGGTAAGGGAAAACAAACACTGAAGGTCGGTTATGGCGGCGCCCATGCACAGCTGCTGCAACCTAAACCCCTGTTCATATCACAAAAAAAAAAAAAAGATGTTGCTGAATTACGTCGTATATTTTTGGATATGAAACTTCGAAGTGTCTGGTGTGTGTTCCTTGCCTTTTGGAATCCTTATGTTAATAGGGAGTTCTCGTAGACGGCTTTCGCCGTCCCGCAACGATACCCGGAACTCTACAGTCAAGGCCATCGGCGCGCAGGCGCAGTAGCACCTCTTTGTTGTGGAGGGCTTAGCGGAGGGGGAAACGCGGTCTACGAAAACTTCCTAATAAATTTAAGGCCCGTATATATTATCGAGGACTTACGCTTCCATCTAAGAAAGGTATCAGTCTTTAACTCACCTAACTACTAACTGATTTTTTTTTAATGAAAAACAACAACAACAAGAAAAAACAACAGTATTATTTAACACTTTGAGCGCAATTGAAATGCCGACTTCAAAACGTAACGTCAGTACACCGTGCACTAGCGGATTGCGTGCCTAGCGGGTGCGTGCTTAATTATAGCCTCCTCTCTACTGACAAAGTCTGGCAGATCGCCACGAGGTGCAACCGCCGAAATTGAAAAGGTAGAGCGGCAGACAACGGATGAGATGGGAGGATGGATGGATGGATGGATGGATGAATCCGGCTGAGCCCTTTGGATCGGGCGGTAGCGTACGCCACCTAGCCATTTTGTTTTACCATTTAAGCTTAGGATATTGAAATGTGAAAACTATATTCACTCCGCACTGCAAAAAAGAGGCCAGAGCCGTTTATACTGAGAGAGTTTGGCCTTCTTAAGGAGATTTTGGCAGTCTGACAACCACAGCAGCGTAGTCTGACAACCGGGGGATGACTACTTCCGTCCGCCATATTGTGGATCTGACTCATAGGAACTCTACGCGATTTCACAGGAATGAACAAGACAAAGAAGTAACGCCATATTGTGTTATCGCGAAATCCGCTGGTTCTAGCGGCCAACAAGCTCCGCCCATCGGCCAAACTCTCTCAGTATAAACGGCTCTGAAAGAGGCAGGTGACGGGCGCCCCGCTGCGGCGAGACGCCGAAGCACACTTCTCCTGAGGGATGGAATGTCCGCTCGTGCTCCTCGCGTTCCTCACGCTACCGCTTCTTTTCTCGTCGGGTTTGAAAACCACGTTTCGGGTCCTCGCCGCTGCAAAAGTTGTGCACTGATGTCCAGGTTCCCCCCGAGAAATGCTCTGTGCTACCAGATCCTCGCGGTCCAAATCTGCGACCGGGCACTCTATGGCTTCGGCTTAACCTATACGCCTCAAGAGGAGGCTATGGCTTAACCTATACGCTTCGTAGTAACAGCGCGAGCTTCTGCTAGCGACGCGAGGCTCTAGCGCATACGGTCTATACTAGAAGTCTCTATAGGAACTAAAGACGCGGGCTCCATGCAGCTTAAAGTCGGCGGTCACGCTGCTCATGCATCATACAAAAGACACTGTGTTCGCGGCGGACATGACGACAGAATCATGGGCGCGCATATAATTCTGCCACGCGTCAAGCATATTCGAAGCGTGTTTGCTTCATACATTCTTCGAACATGTCTGTAGTCACATTGTATGACGAATGTAACCGTCGTACAAGGAAGAAACACGCCTCGGACAGTATCCCTAAAGACTGCCTTTTGGGTATTAGCAGTGTGAGCGCTTCTTCAAGTACTGTGGCCGCTCGCAACACCACGCGAATGAATGTAACCGGCGTGTCCGCTGATCAAAGGTGGTGCCGTTGCCGTGGCGCCGCCGCCGCGCCCTGTCCGCGCTCACGGCCGCCTGGCTCCTGTCCTGCTGGTGCGGCTCCGCGTCGGCCACCCTGTGCAACCAGCTCACCATGCTGCCGGACGAGTGCGAGTGCGACATGGACGCCGACGGCAGACTCACGCTGCGCTGGGCGGGCACCCACGTCAACAGCCTGCTCGGCGACCTCGAGAAGATGGCCGAAACCAACATTTCCCTCCACGAGATGCAGGCACGTCGGTGCATACGCTTTGCCCTCCGAGACTTCTGGAGAGCCTACTTTCCCGCAATTGCTGCAGTCTACGGAAATATGCATTCGGACATTCGGACCTAAGAAAGCACACTGCGCCGTACGTGGTCAAACGTCATACACAGCACAGACAGTGTATAGATGGGTATGAGCTGCCTCGTCATTCTCCCAACTCCCTCCGTAGATTGCGGCGATGAACTTTCCAACGTGTCTTGCGGGAAAGTAGAGGCTCCTGATTTCAGAGTGTGGGTGTTTTAGCGTAAACTCGAAAAAAACAATATATGCCGGTGTGTTCACTTTCCTGCAGAATAAGGGAGACAGCCAAGCGCGGCGAACAACAAAAGGATTTCAGAGAATCACGAAGCCGAAACATTATTCTAAAATATGCAATGTGAGCTTGGCTTTGAGCTGCATAATTCGCTGGGATATTTATATCGTTCGCTGTCTTCGTGTTCTGCAATAAATTGAGCTCGCCAACGTTCTTCTTTTTTTTCTTTTTAGAGTGTAGGAACGGATTTAGCGAAGAACAAGGCGTTGATAAGTGCATTGTCAATAACATATTAGGGATCTGTTGGTAATATTAGCTTTTAGCAGCGCTCAACTCCCACGACGAATTGCTCTTGGTAAGCTTTGAGGTGGTTGTCAAATATATAAGAGACAATTAAGTTCAATTGATTTCGACGCAGTTCTTGAACGTGTGAAGAAGACTTTACATTTGGAGAACTACGCTGCATTTCAAAAAAACCTTCCTCACACATCCTGACCCCGCCACCGGAGTGTCTACCTCAGAACGTATTCTTTGTAGGGCAACGTGGTGCATTCTGCTTTGCGTTGTCTAGTGACGACGTGCTGACGTCAACTTACCCGATTTAAGAGAAGGGACATTTGCTAGGCCATGATAGTTCTGGGTTCTGTGTTCATGGGGGAAGTATATCGAGGTGAAAATTTGGACGTCTCACGTGCAGTGCTGGAAAAGCTCTATTTTTCGCGTGGTTCTTGCCCTTATAGTCTTGCTTGTACTTCGAGAAGTCATCTCATAAGCTGCTTTTAAATTTTGCGAATGCTTTACATGGTCGTGCGCTTGCTTTTTAAAGTAATGAAACATACTCATAGAATCCGCCTGTACTGTACTGGCGAATGGTCAGGCTTTGGATGACCTCAATCTACCGACGTTTTGGATGGCCTCAATCTACCGACGGACTGAAGTATCCTGCAGCAGCCTGTTGTCTCTATATCACTGTATAGATCAGCGCTCACAGCGCTGATCACCTCTCAACCTGGGTCTCATCTGGTCCCGGAGCAGATTCGTGACTCGGATCTGGAGGAGTTGAAGAAGGGATTCCCCGCGGCCATCAATGAGCACATGGAGCGTCTGACGCTGGACAACACTCGCATCGGCCAGGTCTACATCGGAAACATCATCAGACCCATTAAGAACCTGCGCAGTCTTCAGCTGCACAACGAGACCATTCAGCAGGTGACACGTATGAAGCCCGCGTGTGCGTTAGTCGATAAAATTTGATTAGAAATGCTCTCGTGCCTTCTGGACAATGCTTTAGTCCCATATATACCATATAGGGCTATGGTAATGTACGTAGAACAGAACATAGGGGTTGGACTTTCGCTAAAAACATAATCATGTCACAGAACGCAAGGAACATTGCAAAACGCTTTCAAGAAGCAATTTCACACTAACATTCTCGCTGGCGTTCTTATCACACGTAAAACAGATATGCTTGTTTTTATCATCAAATGCGCGCGAATGTGTGCTGTATCAAGGGGGATTTCCCCGCTCGTCACTAAGAGGGCAAATTTCGCTACACAAACCTGAGTTTCAGGAATGCACGAGAGTGTTGATTCTTTTGGAAGTTCATTATGAATACGTAATTACGGTCGTACGGTTCTTAAATTTTTCCCGGAAAGCGCTGTAGATTTTTAATGAAACCCAGACATAGGAACGAAGGTATTGAGGGCGCAAGTGAGCTGGTGAATAGTAGGCAGCATAATATAACAGAAGACACGAAAACAAAAGGGACATACACAGCGCCATCTCAGACACAGCTAAAAGCTTTATTCGCATCACTAATGGCGTGCAGTACATGCGAAGGCAATTAACGCCAGGCAAGGGGAGAAAGGGCAAGCACCAGGAAGGCTGGGGACGAGGAAAAACATCCTCTCCTCTCTAACGTTCCGTGGAGCCGCCTTGCTCAGCCAATGGGAGAATAAAATCCTCTTTCGAGTTTTTTTTTTTTTTTTTTTTTTTTTTGCGTTTACAGACGCCGCCGGTTCCGCTCATGGGACAGTTAATAATCCGCCTTCAGCAACACTTGTACGACGTAGACCCTCGCTCCACAGGTGGAGGCTAACATGCTGGACTCGCTGACACTGCTCGAGGAGCTGGGCATCAACGAGGCCAACCTGGTGACGGTGCGCGAGAACGCCTTCGTCAAGCTGAACCTGAGCCACCTGTCGCTGCGCCACAACCACCTAACCCAGATCCCGGACGCCGTGAGCAAGCTGCCCTTCCTGCGCGAGCTGGACCTCTTCGAGAACCCCATCGAGGTGGTGTCCGACCAGGAGGCGCTCGTCTTCCAGTCCAACCTCAAGCTGCTCCGGAAGCTCGTCATGAACAGTGAGTCTGCACTTGGCGGCCGCTGCTGCTGCTACGAGTCACGTGGCATCATAAGCGTAGGGAGAGAACATAAACGTACGGGCAGATGTGGGAATCTTGTCCGTCCTTCCGCCTATGTTCTCTCCGTAAATGCTTGTATCGTATACAACCAACCCTCTCATCCTGACTTTGACAGAAAGAGGAGAAGCAGAAAAAATTGTGTAAAATAGTTCTCGAAGAAGCTGTAATTAGTGCCTGAACGCTTAAGGTCGCTTACGATTTTTTACGTTACGTGAGGAGTCATCGGGACGTTCGTGGTTCGTGTGTCATGTGCAAAGCTGTACTATATCGCGACGTGAGCGGTCGTAAACGGTCGTAACGTAACGTAACGTAGAAAAAGGCCCCTGTCTGAACCGACCTTGGCTGTTCAATGGCCACACAGTCCCAATGGCAAAAATGTGTTCACTCATTTTGCTACCGAGGGCCGTTTCCCATAAAAGTGTGTGCCGTATGCCACCGAGTAACGTCACGAACAGATTTAATGTCAAGGACGGATGTGACGTCAATGTACAAGATAATTGCCATTTCACCAAAAACCAAACATTTGGTTAATAAAAAAAACTGGTATACTTGTGTATGCCTTTTTTTTACATAAAAAAAGTGTCCCGAGGGGCTAAAGTCACTTCCCCCCCCCCCCTTCCCTTTAAATTCGCCCTGATTTAGAAATCAATCAAAATGAACGGAAACGAATAACTACATTGAAGACCGAGAGAGACGGCCGTCACTACGAAAATAGGTTCTTGTTCCGGGAACACAGAGCTGTCGTGTTTCTTGTCCTCCAGAAGTGCAGTGCGACTGCGAACTGGGCAAGGGCGAGTTCCTCTCGTGGATCCGGCGTGCCAACATCAGCGGCGTCAAGTGCGGCGAGCCCCCGTTCTTGCTGGGCAAGGACGTCACCGGACTGACCACCAAGCAGTTCTGCGACGACGCGGGGAGACCGGCGGCCACGCTGGCGATCCTCGTGGCGGCTACGGCCCTTCACTGGGCCGCCAAGATGGCAATCAGCTGAACTGCCCCTCTCCGGTGTTATAGCTACTGACAGCTTAAAGCGGATCTCCGGCGATATTTCTGAACTGCCCGAACGAACACACGTTTTCGAAATATCCAGGATTTGCTCTTTCCGGCATGCTATTTATTATCTCTAGATTCAAAATAGCCATTGAGAAAACGGCAGATGAAGGTGATGCAAAAACCAACATTCAAATTTTCCCGCCCTCTCCGGTGGGGTGCGGTCACATTGTGTATAACTTGCAAGTCAAGCAGGCAGTTAAAAAGAAAAAAGAAACGCAGCATTTTTAGCACGTTTTTTTTTCCTGTTGCTGGCATGTGTTTAAGCAGCGTTCATTTCACATCATTGCATTAAACGTCTTTTAACCCGCAAGGAACAAGCTGTGCTGACCTCGTATTGCCCCCACTGATCTCTATTGTAGTAGGCTGAATCGCGGATCGACGCTTGTCTTGCGAGTACCACCACAGGCAGCCATCACTTGACACCAGCTAATGCATAGGGTCCTATGGAAAAAACGAGAAAGAGTGCCATTTCCCCCATTTCTAAGCTGTTGTCGGCACTGAAACTTTTTGACTGTTCTTCGGGAAGCCTATCAAATAGGTTGCACAAACATTAAAACTGACAGCCCTCACAGTTCTTATAAATAAATGTTTTGCGATCAAGAGTGACTCCGCTGGGCGAAAAATGTAATGCCGCTCAGTGAGACAAGAGCTGCCTAGAGTAACCGCGGAGTTGGTGGCGGCTTCGATGAGTTTGGTTTAGTAGACAACAAGCTTGAACGATTTGCTACGCGGAACTCGCTCACTCCCAGAATGCCGCTGATGCCGCTATAAACCTAGAACCTTTTCGACACTCATCAACTTCTGGGCTTCCCCGAGGACAGCAAGCTTGCCAGTTTAGCCGTGGGTGCTCTGGCAGGTTTGATTTTTTAATGGGCGTTCAAACGCTTGAAAAATATTGATTCGACCTCCTAACACCCGATATAATGATCGGAGCGCACCATAAAATACTCGCCTTCGAGCACAGCGTATAAGCTTCAATATTCCTACTTGTGTGTTTTTGTCCCATAGACTTGCGTTTATTGCCTGGTGTCAGGTAATGAACGCCGGTGGTGCCACCGACGGGCTCCCAATCCGCGATCCAGCCTACAACAATAGAGATCAGTGATCTCTATTGTATCACAATAGAGATCATATTACATCTGACTTCACGTTTCCAGTGTTGCCAGTGCAGCCTCTCAGCCTCTCAGACAAAGTTTAAAACGTCAACAAGTTCGCGAAAAAAAAAAAAAAAAAAGAAACGTTATTGGCCCTGTAAGTGATGACGTCACAACATGGCGCTGTGCTCCAAACAAACCGTTGCTATGGCCTTTGCTGTGGACAAATGCAAGGGGGCTCGAAAAAAGGTTAAGATTTGTATGATAAAGAAATAATATATATTATTGTTTTCTTTAGCACTGGCTTCTCAATATTGTATCATAAATACTTTTTTCTTTCTACTATTTCAGTGCCATAGAAAGATGATAAAAGCCTGTAATAAAGATTTACACCTGTATTTATTTGCTAGCGGACGACACGATGGCTTCGTGGGTCTATTGGTCTTTTCTGATAGAGCAGGCGACTGCGTTGCATTAAGTTGGTGACAAGCGACGAAACTTTTATTATCAGGGACAACTTTGTGTGGTATTTCGGAAGCGATGAGTGCCCGTGCCCATCTTTGATCGAGGCTCGAGGTGTACGAGCTAGCCGGCGGACGCCTCCCGGAAAGGCTTTGATATCCCAGAGAGGGGTGAAAACATGTCATCACGTAATGATGATAAGTTACGACAATGACGTGAAGAGTATCAACTTCGAAGTGTAGGCCACCACGCGTTTCAAATAGTTATGACGACACAGAGTGCTGTTGCTTCACGATCTGTCCGTAACATAAACTTACCTGACATTCTTACCCACTTAATTATTTCCCTTTTTTGGGGGGGTCTTGCTGGAAACGTAAGAACCAGCGTTATTTTTTTTTCTTTTTTGCTCGCTGTGGTGGTTACAAGCGGATACGAAAGACACTCCCATATCGCGAGCCTTCAAACAAAATTTGTGGTTTTGAATCAATCACGTTTGAGTCAAATGAACAGACCTATCTCACAAAGCGTTCCATGCATGCGTGACGCCGCCATAACTGTAGCTCACAAGAGGTAGGCGCCCATGCACGAGACAACTCGTACCGTCTCGTGCTCTGCTCGAGCAGACCTCCATCGGTGTTGGCGCGCGTGCAGAAAGACTACAGATCCTATGATGCATGCACGGTGACAGCAGTGGCGTACACAAACAAAATGCACGTCAACCTGAAAAATCAAAAGGAGAGCCTTATGCTGCTTTATTATCATGAAATAAACCTATCTAAACAGATGTATCCCTCGCCAATGCGAAACCATCATTTTTTTTTTTTTTTGCAGCCGATTTTTATACGTGTGATACGTTTCGTCTGAATCCTGTATCGCGCACAAATACAATTCGCCTTTATAAATCTGATTAGTTCTTTAAGACCTTTCATGTTCCTCATAAAGATACGATCAAAATCCTATCATTAAGCGAATGACTCAGTCTGTTGCAGATGGTATATTTGTTATTCCGCATGCGTTCGTCGTCTGCCGCTGGCATCTCGAGGCGGTCTCGAGGACCAGAAGGTGCCGTCGCAGATATTCCAGAAATAACCGATTTCCGGCACTTTTCTGTCCTGGTAAGTGACAGACCAAGGCTTCCGATATCGATTTTTTTATAGACGTTTAAATCCCACGTTCGAGTTTTGAACGAACGTACCTTCGGAGTGAAACCCAATCCCGTGTATTCGTCCATAGCAACGCCCCTAGCAACTGTTTGTTTGGAGCGGTGGCGTCACACTTACGGGGTCAATTGTGACTTGTAACTTCGGTTACTGGCTCAGGTGTCTCTATTAATATGTTGAACCGATTTTGAGGCCAATCAATGAGTATTGAAATTTTCGCATTTAAGAAACGCAGTGCGAGATGATCCTGAACATCGTTTTTATCACTCCGCAGTCAATGAGGACGGAGAAGTCGCAAAACAAGAAGCGTGAATGTAAGCGTGAACCTGCTTATGTTCACGCTTAAACAAGAAGCGTGGATCGTTTTTTAAGTTGTCAGTGGCTATAATGTCGCGTTGTTTCTCGAGTTACCTCATCCTGTTCACCGGAAGTGTCGATCATTTGAGTGAAATACGACTTTCCCGCCCACCATACTAAAAAAAAAAAAAAACAATTCAGTCTTCAGTTACGAAGTCTTTCATGGTCTCTCGTAAATTCGTGGAACGAGAACTGTTTTCATGCTAGAACCTCTGGAACCGTGATTTTGAAAAAAAGGTGGATTGCCGGTTCGTGAGCTTTCCGCACGAGCTGCGCGTGAGGGGGGAACGAGAGAGCGAGAGCACTTCGCTCCAAAGAATGCCTTCATCGAACGAGCTCTCGCGGAGTAGAAGCAGCACGTGCCCCTACCAGTGGCTTTGTAATCGGCAATTAAAAAATTGGTGCATTACCCGAAGCAAAAATACCACAAAAAAAATTTTTGTATGCACAAACACAAATATATATTATATATATATTGATTTTTTTTTTTTGTTTTTGTTTATTTGTGGATGTCGTCCTCATTTTTCTATAGGCTTTCCGACAAATTCAAGAATATATATCGTAATCTACGAATCTGATATAAAATGTTATGAATCGTAAACTTGTCAATGCGGGTTATAATGTAATTAGTTATAATGAAATATTACGGAATAATTTCTTGATATGAGGGAACTTGCTGCATGGTGTCAATGAATTCCTGTATAAAAAGATTACTGTCGTGCATGATCACGTTCTCTCCATGGCCAACTTTCTGGGACATTCCGCTGAATAAGCATTTTTCAATGAAATGTCAAAAATTCTGATTGACGTTCTACGATGCCCAGACCATTACAGTCCTTGGGAACATCACGATCTTTTCTCAAGAGAAACAGAAATTTATCATTTTTTCCATGTGGCCCCTAAGAATTTAATTAACGCAAAAACGATTTGTAGTGCCGTAGAATAAAAGAACTTACGCGTCCAAATTTTTAATTACTGCCTATTACTATTTATTTTATAACTGTGATATAAGATAATCCCGGGGAACATTGCGATGTTTGTAGTTGAGTTGAAATTCTCATTTGGGTGCATGTGCCGAGGAGCTGATGTCCAAGAAAGTTGGTGATGCGTGTAGATTAGGGGAAGGTAGCGATCTGTGGAGAAGGGTCGCTTTTTTATGCTATTTTCTGCAGAAATAACTTGTCAATCGAAGTATTGATTAATTTTCACCGATTTTTCTTGGTGCTTACTAAGTAGTGCTGTTCACAGTCATCGATGAATCCATCTTGCACTCGTCGAAGATATTTAGGGAGTGCACCAGTGAAATATTTGATAGTTTTTAGTTATATTTTTGCATTAAAAATTTAATACCTGTCGCACTTGACTGAATTGTAATGAACATCGGACAGTACTTTCGATATGTATAAATTAACCTACACTGCCAATAAATGTGAAGATCTTTGACTTTGTCAACGCTGTCTGCATCAACGACGTGTAGCCCCAACACTGTTTTAATCATTCTCACTTCTTTTTTTTTTTTTTAATACCGTATTTGTTTAAGTAATAGCTGCGCTGTTTATGAACAAAGCCGGTGGGTCTGCTTTCCCGTGGAGCCTGCAGGAATAGCGAACCACCGAAATCAGCTTAAAAATGTCAACGATTTATGGTACAGAGACGTCTTCGCGAAATCGCTATCTGCTCAGATCGCACATTGCGGAGAATCATGCTCTCGGCCCTGTCAGTCGCTTCGTTCTTTATGCAAACCGCGATGATTGGCTGTATGTGTGCTGTGCAGGAAAGGAGACGCAGTGGCCTTGTTTATAAAAAGGGCTATTATTCGAGCAAATACGGTGTGTCACTACCACTTCCAGACAGATTTCTACTTTTTAGAAGGCTATGCGGAGGGCAAGTTCGTCTGCTTCTTGCGCAGGGGGTAGCGGTGACGTCAGAACGCCGAGCCCTGATTGGCTGATCCCGACCCCCTATCTGAGCGTCGTCTGCTCCTCTGCAACGTCGTCTGCTCGCAACGTCGTCTGCGTCTGTCTTACCTTTCCTGCGACTTTCGGAAGTGCAGAGGCCAGATTCACGAAACGATCTTACGCCAAAAATCAAATTCGTATTGACGAAACGAAATTTTCGTAAGTTTTGCGCAAATTACGACGAAATCCTACGAGGAAATCCTACGACAGCTCCGAAGCTGTCTTACGCACTTCTTACGATCAAATCAGCATGGCCGACAGCGTCACGTTCGCGACGACCCACGGGCGTTTATTTTTCTACGTGCGCTTCTCACTAGCGTCCCGACTTCAAGCAGCAAGAAAAAAGTAAAAAGTACTTGAAACAGACTACGACGAACAAGAACGCTGAATCCACAAACACCCGGGAAAAGCTCCACCGGCCACGATTCCACCGAACGCGACCAAGCGAGCACGGCAGTTAGGCCTAGCAGGCACTCCGCGACTCGGCGACCGTCTGCCCACGACCGGCTGGTGTGCTGAATGGAATATGCCCGCGCGACCCTTGTGAACCCTTCCCGTATTATACTTTGATCGCTGACCTCAGTTTTAGAGTGAGGTCAATTTCTTCCTCTTGTTATCTCCTTGTTTCCCGAGGCAACGGTAACTCTCGCCGGTGAAAAAAGCGGTGAATCTCCGACAGACGCAGGAAAGGTAAAGCAGCCATCGCTTTGACTAGCAGACGTAAAGCAGACGACGTTAACTGCGCCAACCCGCCGGCGCCGCTAAAGAATGAGGGGTCTCGCCGCACACGAATGGAGGGAAAAAGTATTTGGGAGGGAACTTGCGGACAGTAACACGCTCACTCTCGGTTTTTAGCAAACAAACCTCGGCGCCTCGGGACACCTCGCCAATGAATCCTTTGACTTCTTTCCTTGATGCGCGTCTGCTAGTTGTTAGACAAAAACAACGCACCGCTCGAGTTATTTCGTCTGCCCTCTCTGAAAGGCAAAGTCGAGCTCGCTCATGAAGACCTGCACTTCGGAAGGTTTCAGGAAAGGTAAGACAGACGCAGACGACGTTGCGAGCAGACGGCGTTGCAAAGGAGCAGACGACGCTCAGATAGGGGGTCGCGATCAGCCAATCAGGGCTCGGCGTTCTGACGTCACCGCTACTTCCTTTCTCATGCGCAGAAGATGAAAATGAGCCCACTTGCGAGGCGTATAGTTTTACTAAAAATGCGCAGTAAACACACTTTTGTTTGGTTTCAAATACAAAACAAAGAGAGCTTGACAGCCCACAATGTTTTCATGAGATTAGGTTAGGCACGAATAGAGAAATAGCGAACTGACACATTTTATGAATAATCGGATCTGTATGTACACATATTATTTGCACTAGCAATATATATATATATATATATATATATATATATATATATATATATATATATATATATATATATATATATAAGCAAAGTTATATTTTGAGGTTGCCAAAGTTGCATGCAAACACACTTTTCACTTGATGCATGCGCGGCTTCAAATAACCGAATAGAGTTGATGCTAACAAGACGACCTGCCTGGAGCGAAAGTATGCAGGCGAGCTGGTTTGGACAGCTCATAATGTAAGACCTTGAGATACGGAGTTATTTTCCTTCTTCGTATGAGCTGCTCTGTTAGCTGTGACATTCCCAAATTCCGCAGCATTATTGGAACGACGCTGTACATTTAGACACGGCGTATCTTAAAGAGCGAAATCTATAAGCTTCAAAGACAAACACACTCGTTACAGCACGAAGCAAAAAATGTGTAAAATAGTTCCGACGTTGTACTTTTAAGATTCCGACGTTGTACTAGCTGTCAGAATGAACAAATCAATCGTGCCCTTAGAAGGAAAGTTTACGGATTTCACCTGCCTTACCGGGTAAAAATAACGGGCTGTGTTTTCTATCGCAGTCAATATAATCGCCGAACCTTTTTTCATCACAAATGTAGAGACGTACTACCTCGGTTGTCACGACCCTATGCGGTTATTCCTCCGTAAAGCGCCGGAACGACGGATCAGATAGGCCCATCTCAAAGGTGTTGCCCTCCCTATGATGCCACGGACATCAGCGCTGAAAACAGTGCCTTGAGGAATCGTGCGGCTCCTGTTAGAGCACAGGACAGGTCACGCGGACGTCGTCCTCAGAATGCAACTGAGGAAGCTCAGCGGATGCTTAATGGTCTCGTGGGTGATTCTGTTCGACGGCTGTGTCGGGTTGCTGCTGGGTGTGTGGACGGAGCTCACGCGGATCACCATCACCGCCAGCGCCACGCTCGACGCGAGGAGCAGCAGCGATACGGGCCAGTGTCGCTGCGAGGGTGTTCAAGACTTCCAGATCAGTCAAAGCAAGCGGAAGTCCATATGTTGCGATAGAAACGGCGTGTTTTATTAATAACAAGATGAACGTCTTGCAATCCTAATTAACGTCTAATCTGCAAACTGTAAAATCACATGGACGCAGTGGTGTAATTTATTTTGCATTATTGCCGCGTTCATGACCGTGTTGGCAGAGCACTTGCCTCCGACATATTTAGAGTACCCGGGATCAAATCCAGTCGTATTTGTTTTCCTTTTCGTTCCTCCTCTGGAAGGTACCAGTTTATTCTCGTTGGGTATGTATACGTTCGGGACTAGAACATGACCGAACACGGAGTCGGTTTTAAACCAGCCATAGCGCGCTATATCGGATCAGTTTTCCGCTAGAGCTTAATCCCGCCGCCTCGCCGACATGATCTTATGGTTGGGATATTGTCGTCATTAGAGCGATTGGACACGGGCCACTACCCGAATGCTTCTCGAGCTATCAGTTATCACGAGCCCAAATCGAGGGCCTACGCAATGCTCGGGTCCAAACTATGAGCCGCATTCAAATATCGACAGTGGGTGGTACTGCGACCGCCCAGCTACGTCATCAAGTTTTGCGAAGGAGAGATTGAATGAAAACGCTCGTTTTCGTCCTTAAAGTTACGCCGCAACAAAGGAGTTTCTTGGCCAATGGCGTTGCGTGCGAGTATCCTCGAGTCCCACTATATACACTCGGCGACCACTTTCCTTGGCAATGCAGTAGAGAGGAGGAGAGCCCGCGCGCAGATTTATTCAGCGCTCCAAATGGGAGAGGGAACGCGTGCCTGTATCAGTGTTGCCATTTTAGTGGTTTTGTCGCTAGAGTTAGCGATTTTCTATACATTTAGCGACGGGCTCTTTTAATTTAGCGGCTAGCGACTTTTTTAGCGACTTTGGTGTTCAACCGTAAACTTATTATTTTGAACAATTTTAGAGATGCTCGCGGGCTAAACCCTTTTACTTCTCTAGCCAAGTTAGCTTTGCATATATGCTCAATTTAGCGGCGCGCTTAAAAAAAAAAAAAAAAGTCAACACTGTCAACACTGCAGACATTATGCTGCAGACCATCTCTCCCGCGCCCACGTACCCACGTGCTCTTCGTCAAACGTTGCTACCGCCAGCCAAGAGCGCAGCCGCTTCGCTAGCCTCGCTGCATCGTTTCGGATTCGAAAGATTCGGTTCGCGTTTCGATGCTGAGATGCCGAAAGTGAAGTACAGCCAGAAATTCAGGGATGAATGGCTGGCAACGAACCGTCGACATCGGCAGATTTAGGTGACTTCAGTGTAGTCACCATCGAGGAAGAACTCTTCTTCTTGACTGTTCCGTTGAACTGTTCTTGAAGAACTTCTTGAAGACAAAGCAGTCATTATTTTCGTGTTAAAATTAACAAGTACCCGTTTCTTATTCGTACTTTCGTACTTACCGCCTAGTCGTTTCCCAAATAAAACATTACAAATAAAAACCTTCCTAGTTGTTTTTCAATGTAAATTTCAAAACAACAGCTTTTTTTTCTGCATAGTTGAAAACGGGGGTTTCGCACTGTTTATTATTAGATTAACATCACCAAATTATTAATTGTTTATCTTTTTGATACGCCTAGCTTCTGTCTGAGACATGGTTCGGGGAATTGTTTGGTAGGAAACTTGTAGAAACAAAGGGTGCCCTTAGAAAGGAAAAATAATAACAGGTACAAGTAATTTTCGCACTTCCAAAAGTAATCAGTCACTCTTGTGACTACTTCCGGATAAATGTATTGAAATTATTACGGTATTAAAAATGATCAGTTACGAGTAATTTTGTTACTCGTAATGAGTGCCGTTCAAGTCTGCTTGCACTTGACAGATAAAGCATGGATGTCCCAGTTAGTCACGAGTGATAACTATTTCGAGTTTTCGGGATCTTTTTTCTTCATATTCGTGGTGTTTTTTTGGGGTAGTTTTGCTTCCATATATTCGGCGTTTTTCGTTGTTTATTTTGGATGTCGGACAAAAAAAAAATCCATGTTTATCGAGGCACATGTTGATGAATGACAACACGGCCACGTAATTCCCCAACCTCAAAGAGAACCACATGCTCGTGATCCAAATACTTGGAAAATGTCCCTGTACCGATAAGACAAGCAAGTGCGTTGCATGTGCGCGAGCCCATGCAACGCACTTGTCGTCACAGAGAGTTAAATGCGGGCTCCGGGTAAAAGGAGAATAAAGACAGGCTTTTAATATACACAAGTGAAAGCTACCTGCTTGTTAGACTAATTAGTCGCCGATCTTTTACACTAGACCCCAACGTGAAGATGAGAAACCGGTCCTTATTCTCCTTTTTCCCGGAGCACACGCATTTAACGCTGTCATCCTAAGCGTGAATGGAGCACTATGACGCCGATTCCGTTGCGTGTGCTCGCGCACGCCGGAGGCTGCTGGCTCGTGGAAAGAACGTGCGCCACGTATTATGGACAATAAAATGTTTAGATCAGAATCCCTTTACAATACAAGTATTTGTTCAAATGTTGCAATAAAAATCGTTAAGAAAGCACGAAGTGTTAAATTAACTGATTTCTTTTTTAGACATGTTGAGCTTGGGTAAATACTGAGTGAATTGAGCAACGAGAACGACAGTGTAACTGCTCCCTTCCTCAATTAAAACTTCCAATACGTTCTCGGCCCCGGTGTTACGCTAATTTTTGTTTTCACAGGAGGTCCCGGCTTAAGGTTGTCGTATAAACAAATCAAATCTAAAGATATCACTAGCAGGTTCACAAATTCTCTTGCCTCCCCCCCCCCCCCCCCCCCTTTCCGTATTACGTTGGCCCTCGACATTTCCGGTGAGTTTGAGACCACTGGCCTAGAGCGTACTGCCCCACAGCCCGGCACGCGCTCGTGCGTCGCCCGAGAAAGCGAGGAAAACACGCACCATACGCACACACTTTCTAAATGGCATCTTCCAGAGGCTTTATTTTAAAGATGTATAGACTGTATAGCTACAGTGATATAGCTAATAAAGATCTTCTGTCAAGTGCCATCTTGAAAGCTGGGCGCAAAAGAGTCAGGTACAAGGCAACCCCGAAGTTTCTGTCGAAGAACCGTGCATCTTAATTCCAAGTTATGAACATTTTCTTCCCTTTTAATTTTTCACCAAAATGGTATAGCTCGGCCCATTTAGTTCGGTCGAATCGCCAGGCTTTACAACCTACAATGTTTTCCTCGTTCATGGTCACATTTGTTTGCATGCATGCACACTGTAATTTTAGAGCTCTTACAGGGCTCACAATCTTGGGTGTGTGGAACTGCGGAAGTATTTTCATTAACACTATCTAACTTGATAATATTAACGCGGCGTTTTTTTATATTCCTTTCCTCGTTTGGTTTGTGCGGCGGGGTGATGTGGCTGTTTATCTGACTTTTTGGAACAGGCGGTGGGCGGCATGAATGTGCGGATTTGGCGGTACGTCCTGTTTCTGTTGATACGAAACTAAGCGCGTGCATGGCGATAGCAAAGTTGGAAGCTTTCAATAAAGTTTAGTTGCCAGTTAGCGCTTGTCCTGTGTGCTTCCTGTCTTTTTGTCCCGTCTCTTTTGCGCTATTTTTAATATGAATATTTATAGACATTTATGAACTCCGTGCAATATTTTTTTTTTTATTTCTGAAAAATATTTCTAATATGATTTAAAGCCATTACAGGCAAAACGTGTAATTAGGTTGTGAAATCTCCACTTTCTGAAGGCAGCTTTCTGGAGCAATGATAAGAAAAACTCACAAAAAATAACAGCACAGTCATTGCAGATATCTCCCCTAAGGACCGAGGTAAGATGAGCTCACATAACTTCAGTCACCCAAGACAGCCCAATGGAGGAACGATTCATTATTTTGAGCGTCTGCTTTCTGGTTCCTTTAAATGGGATCATAATGATTGCACGTATGTCAGTCTGCTCTATGCTTGATCGTCGTATCTTCGCCGAAAAGGTAAAAAAGGTCGCAAAGTGTCGCGAAGCGAAACTGAACTCGAAGCACGCCGCGACGCGCAGCAACAAAGTCGTCAGTCGCGGTTCGCCAACAACAGGCAAGGTAGGCAAGAAAGGCAAGAACTCGTGTGGTAGCTCCGCCTAGGGACAACGAATAAAAGCTTCGGCGCAATATTTTGAATCCTGGTGAGATTCGCAATTCGCCGAACTTTTAAAGATGGCAGGTTCGGAAGTATGATACTTTTCGAACTTTTCAAGGAACAAAAATTAAAGGTTCCAAAAACGTCGAATTCTTAAATTTAGTGACTTTGAAACTTCGTAAATCGTGAATTTCTTAATGCGATAAGTTTGAAATAATCGCATTTTCGAATATAAGAAGTCCGGAAGTTCGAAATGATACAATTTATAAACGCAAAAGTTCGACAAAATCGAAACTTTTTTGCACCTTTCCAACCCCCTGGTTCGACCTTCTAACCTTAGGTTCGAAAAAAGCTCGCGGCATCTCTACGTGTGAGCTTGCTCCCAGGTGTCATTGTTCATATATCTCGTTAAAAGTATTAATTATCACGATTATCTTGGTCATCGCCAGCCTCTGCCATTGATTTTAGCGTTTTTGCGGTCAGCAAGCCACCTGGGAGCGAGCTCATAAACCAGTGTGCACACGACAATAGACGACTTACGAGTTGGCTCTATTTTTAATATATCACTATCTCTGATTTGAGCTCTAAAGAAATAGACATGAGTCTTTTTACGAAACTACGTTCGCGTACCCAGTTTCAGGGTGTACGTTTGGAATTCGAATTTTGCAAGTCGTGCCAAATGTGTTGGTCTTTACGGCGCACCCTGTACATGGTGTCAGAGAAAGTGACTCTGTAATTTCACCGACCGTACAATGCAACGTCAAAACCCTCGTTCCCCCACGAGTGCGGATTATATATTGCCAGAAATCAGTGTTTTGCTGTTTCTGACGATGAGCGACGGCTTCACAAATTCTTTGACACCTCGAACAGGTCCCAAAGTCACGTATTTGTGGCTGAAGATTTCATTTCAGAACACAATAACGACAATACACTCTAGAGACATTGCTTGCAGAAGTAACCGACGTTTTATTCTTTTTTGTTTTTTTATATGGTCGTCAGAAGTATAGAGCCGTCATATTTTATAAATGCATATTTGCATGAATATTTTGCTTGCACTCAATTGCGGCAGTAGCCTCTCACGATTCTGGTAACATTTTGACACGTATGAGAACGCTATGAGGGTAAACCTTCGACTCAATGTGACAGACATCTCAATGTACCGTTATCAAATACAAGTTTTAAACAATAATAAGTTCCACTTTTAACGCCCGAATTCCCGATATGTATCACGGCAAGATTTCTTTTTCTGTATGGTATTGATGGGCACAATATCAGCGAACAAGTTGATCTGGGGCAATCCGCGGATCTTACACAAAACCGTCATGGCTACCAGTCGCATGGAAAATAAATGTACCGCGTTCAGAACGAGCAAGTCTACGAACTACTAGAGTATAATGTCGACACGCTCGCGACAGGGCACCACGAAGTCGTTCAAGCCCCTCTCACGCCCTATGCACGACGGTCTTCGGAGTGAGTGACGAGAGCAGGACGACGTCCTTGAGGATGCTCACGGGGTCCTTGAGACTCTCGCCAACCTTCCGGCTTCGCTGCAGGTTGGGGTTGCTGCTGGGCGTATGCACCGCGCACACCCGGATCAGCAACATCATGAGCACGCCACCCAGTGCGATCAGCACAATCGCGATGTACCAGTATCTCTGCAGGGAGGATAGAGTGAACACGCGTATTAACAATTTGTGCACTCGAAACAAATGTCCGCCTCTTTACACTTTACCGCGACACATTCGAAAAAGTAATCACTGCGACCCGCAGGAGGAAGTTTCGTCGAAACACTATATAGTTCGTTCCGCTGCAAGTCAGAGCGCAGCCGACGAGGCCTATCAGGCAGCTCCAAAAACGCTGCGTCATGGCGCATGTCATCTTTTAGTGCGTACGTTGTCACCAGATGAAGTATTCAAGCGGGGGGCATATACTATATGGCTTTGCTCTTTTATTGTGTGTGTTTGTAGCTGTGCTTCTTTACCCCGTTTCACTTTAAGTTCAACCAAAACCGCCACTGCAATCCGATGGAGCCGCAGTGCCAAACTCGGGAGTAGGTTTCCCTCACTCTGGAAACCCTCAGAATAAGCATAGTGATCCCGCACAGATAAAGGGTATACCAAAAATAAATGAAAGACGTTTACAAATCTCTGTAATGCGAAATTAGAGCGCAGCTCTTGAGGAGGAGGAGGCAAGGGTATACCCGTCCTCCTCCTCCGTATCATCTCTACCTCCTTTCCTCCGCACCATCTCCTCCCTTCCTCCTCTCATCGTCCTCTTCTATCCCTTCCCCCTCCAGTTCAGTTTCACCACTAAATTTAGCCGGGAAAATGACGTCAGATGACTTTGCGCGCCAAGTCACGTATGAACAAATTCAGTTTCTCCGCTAGATTTAGCGAGAAAATTGACGTCGCGTGACCTCAACACCAATTCAAATCTAGCGGAGAAATTGAATTCCCCCGCTCTATTTATCGGGGAATTGAATTGACGCTGAGGTCACGTATCGGGGAATTCAATTGGCGTTGAGGTAACGTTACGTCAATTTTCCCGTTAAATCTAGCGGAGAAAGTGAATTTGTCCGCTATATCTAGCTGAGCAACCGAATTTCCCCGCTAAATTTATCGGGGAATGGAATTGGTTTTGAGGTCACATGACGTCAATTTTCCCGCTATTTAGCGCGGTTACGCCGACGCCGCAAAATACGCAAACAAACCACTAAAAACTGCGCCATAAAAAAAAAAGGCTATTTGCTTTTGTTTTTATTTATCGTCTTCCTCCAATCATGTGGGGCAAGCGCTCGCCCACTGCCCAGCAGTGTTGCAGAATTTCCGCTCCGGAGTTGGAATGATTCCGGAATCATTTCCCGTTTCCGCTACAACGGAATGGAACGAAAATGGGACGGCGGCAGCGTGGCGAGGAATGGAATGGAAATAAGGAGATAGATGTCTTTTTTTTCTTTTGGAATGGAGTGGGAATGAAATGGGGGCTCGGTTCATCTTATACTAGCCCTGTCGATCTTCAGTCGGGGCCTGCGGCCTGTTGGCGCGGCTAATGCGCCGTAAAAGTGTCTCTTTAAATAGCGTCATTGCACCTAACCTGACTGACGGCTCGATATTGTCTTAGCGGTTGCTCGAGCGCCCCCGTATAAGTAAGCAAAAACTGCATACATTTTGACGGACAAGGTGCTGTTCCTGGCGTCGGGAGACGCGACAGAGCTGCAACATTTGTGACCATGCGCGATTAAAGGCACCAGTCATATCGGCCACCGGACAGGGACAGAAACATGCCACCACTTTTTTCGGACGTGAGTCTTCTCATCGGGCGCGCGTGGAAAGCATATGGTAATATATATATATTTTAAATGAGTGCTTTTAATTTTTGCCGCCTGTCGTGAGCTTTTTAAGCTTAATCGCACGATTAATGTCTGCAGTGCCATACCATGTTCCACCAACCGTTTTGTGCGACTACCGTTCGTCTTAGTGGAATCAGCGCTTTGGGGACCCTTTTTGCGTATTTTGCGGTTGTCTATGTGTTTGAAAGCGTCATCTTCATGCCACTTTTTCCAGTACGAGCATGTCAAAAGCCATGTCTTACGTTTAGTAATTAGAGCAATAAAATGGAGCGGTTCAGCCATCCCAAAAATGGGAATGAGCCCGGGTTTCCATTCCTAGGAGTTGAAAAATAATGGACTTATTGGAACGGGGTGGATTTGGAATGGAATTGGGGTGCTTGTTTTGCAACACATGCTTCCCCAGCGCGGTGCCCGCTTCAATTATTCAAGGAAGTCGGGAAAAACGAAAACTTTTAGCCTTTCCACTTTGGTGAAGAAGGAAGACCAGCGAAGCTGTACTATGGTGGGAATCAGACTTGTACGTAATCCGTTACAAGTAACGAAATTACTTGTAATCCCTTACATTTATCAGTAATTTAGTAACGGAATAATTACATATTTTCTAGAGTAATTTTAAAGTAATTCCGTTACATTTTTTACGTAACGGATTCCTTGTAATCCGTTACATTTTTTTTGTCAGAACCACCCCCCCCCCCCCCAATTCTAAATAAAGTTTTTTTTTTTTTTTTTTTCATTTTTGTAAAGTTGAGCGCAGTGACACTGTCACGCGAATCGACCAGCGCAAAGAGAGGCTTGGCACTTTTCAGTTCCGCAAACACTTTTTTTGCAACACCAAGCCCCTGAATCTATCTTTTTTTAGACCCTAACATCAATGTCACAAAGAAAAAAAAAAAAAAGGGGAAGGGGGGGGGGGGGGGCAAGTCATTTCCGCTTTTTTTTAGTTCCTTTGTTTTTTCTTTGCGACCGAAGACGGGGAGAGGAGGACACCAAGTGATTGTGCGCCTCTTCGAGAAGCTCGAGGCGGTAAGTGCACTGAAATTATAATGTCACAACACGAGAGAACGCTCCGTCTACCCTACCCTTTTTGTGAGTCAGCTTTTTGCGAGCACTTATAAAATGGTAATAGTCTTCCTTTCTTCTTCTTCCTGTTTTGCCCCAGCAGGACGCATCTTATCTCAAGCAGACATTTTTACAAATAAAACATAATGGTGGCTGACTAGACTTGATATTCTGGGCTTGAGGAGAGAGTGAAATTCGTGAGTGGGGCCATAGCGCGGCTCACTTAGTACTCTACCCTTTGCTGCCCGTGGCATCAGCGGACGTCTATCTGGAGAACACCGGAGTAAACTGCAGTCGGTCCGTGCTCCGTGCGTTTTTGAACGGCACCAAGAAAAGTACACACGGCAAACGTTCGTTTACATTTCCTTGTTTTAACCGACGCTCTATTTAATTGTTGTTATGACTGTCCTTCTTTTCCTTTTTTTACTTATATTTATATACTGGAAACTTTTTTTTTTATTCACCAACGTCTCAAGTGAGGCTCGAACTGGTTCAGAACCAAGGGAAGAAGAATATCGAGCCAAACCTTATTTATTATTTATTTATCCCCTTACTGTTACAACTATGTTTTGCTGTTAATGACTTCTACAGCTTCGCGATTTAGACAATGGAAACTTTTAGTAGATCGGTCCGATGACTCCGATAATGATATCCCATACTTCTCCGCCGTCTTTGCGTATGCATCATATCGTTATCGGGTACCGTTATCGGAGGTATCGGAGGTATCGGAAGGATCTACTAAATCTCTCGAATAGCATGGCAACGGCTGCAAGGACGAAGCTTTGCTCTACATTCGAGGTAAATAGTACTTCCCTTGCTTCGCTGAAAAAGCTCGACACAGAGCATAAAACATTTGTGAGGCACAATTATGGAGCTGCCATCCAGTGCCTAAGTTCAGAGGGAGTTCAGCGTATCAGTGGACATCTTCAGCAAGAAATAACGCAAAATGTCTAACGAGACTTTCGATAGACAGCTGTTGCTCAAAATACTCAAGGTCAATAAATGAAACAGGTGGCAACGATAAGAACTTGAATAACCTTCTTCCCTTTGTTTCTTACTTGAGGACAATAATGTTAAAAGTAACGACACGAAAGTAACGGATTACTTTTTGGGGTAACGGTCAGTTACTTTCATGGGAGGGTAATTGTAATTGTAATAAATTACAATTTAGCCTCGAGTATTTGTAAATGTAATTCCTTACTATTTTTCAGTAACGTGTACAAGTCTGGTGGGAATGAAGTAATGCCCGGCCGCAAGTCGGCAAGCCAGAGCGGAAAGGCTGGAAGGGTTGCGCCATCTATGAGCGACGGCGACAATCGGACAACCGGCAAACACAACACTCTGGGCAGCTACCACCACCTATGAGCGACGGCGGCGACCAGAGTTTTGTGTTGATATTTCTTTGCGCGAGACACGATCCTGGGGCTGTAATAGTGGCAGTGAGTAGAGGTAGGGGCGTACCACCAGTACGTTTCGGAGTCCCATGTGACCGAAGACGAGGTCATGGAGCAAGGACAAAGGCCCCTGCGTGTCGATGCGGCGGCATTTCCGGAAGACGTCGCAGTAGCCGCGCATGTCGTCACACGCGGCACCGGGCTCCATGCGCCTGCCGCAGAGCTCCTTCATCAGCTCGAACTCGCAAGCCTCCTTACACTCGCTCTGCGGAACTGCGCAGAGAGAAATAGGACACGAACGCTAGTATTATCCTTACCGTTGGTATTCTATGCACGCGCAGAGCACATGGATTTGAGCACTGAAGGAGCACAGCAGCATCAATCAACGAGCCAACTTTCGTGCTTTTCGAAGCGAAGTTCTTTTATCTCGTGGGTGCTTGATTTCGTTTAACAACAATCGCCTCATTGGTAAGCACGCACTGACAAACCTAGGAAATGCCGCATAAAAGAACTGAAACCATTTTCAAATATTCCCCGGCGAAAACACCTTCCGCGTTTTCTTCGTGTTTTTTTTGTTTTTTTTTGTGGGTGTGTGAAATTTATTTAAGTAAAACAAAGTAATAAAACGTTTATTTATTTAAACACATCGTTAAAGTTGTACAAAAATAGTAGTGAGGCATGTTATGTAATATATATATATAATGAAACGTTTACAATTCTCTGTAATGCCGAATTAGAGCGCAGCTCTTGAGGAGGAGGGGGGGAGAGTACGGAGGGGAGGGTCACGTGTGACGTCACGAGGGTAAAATTTTCCGCTAAATATAGGGGGAAATATTTTCCATAAATTAAGCGGGAAAGTTTCTCCGCTAGATTTAGCAGAAAATTTGAGCGGGAAAATTTTACCCTCGTCACGTCAGACGTGACCACGTCTTCGCTAAATTTACCCTTGTGACGTCACGTGTGACTTCACGAGGGTAAAATGTTTTCGCTATGTTTGGCAGAAAATTTTTCCGCTAAAATTAGCGGAAAATTCTTCCGCTAAATCTAGCGAAAACATTTTTTCGCCAAAATTAGCGGAACATTCTTCCCGGGTTGACTGCGTCACGTGTGAAGTAACAAGGGTAAAATTTCCCCGGTAAATTTAGTGAGAAAATATCCCCGCTAAATTTAGCGGAAAATTTTCCGCCAAATTTAGTGGGAACGTTTTGCCCTCGTGATGTCACAGGTGACGTCACGTGTGACGCCATTGGGAGAAACGTCGCATAATGCAACGCGCGGTTACGCCGACGGCGACGCCGCTCAATTTTGAAACGGGCGCCTAAGAGCTGCGCTCTAAAATATAGTACGTATCTATGGATCATGTCAGGATTCACCTAAAAATTGGCTGCCTTAGCTGCATCCCTAAAGTTTTCGGGAATTGGTATCACTATTTCTAACAGGCCATTCTCTCTCGCTCACGCCGCTATTGCAACTTATTACCTCCCTTTTTTTTCTTTTTTTTTAATAACTTTTATTGACTCTGCAAAAAAAAAAAAAAGAAACAGTGCTTTAGCTTTGAGCCTTCTCACAACCGAAAACCACGCGCATTTCAAAGCGTTAGAATGTGGTCTAGCCTCCCCTGGCCTCCCTCGTGCTCTATTTGAGTAGAGCGAATTCAGTCTAATTGACATGCATCACGCTGAAGGTCAAAGGTGCTATCACATTGTCCCGAAAGTAACTGCAGAATTATACACGAACTCAACTCTGTTACGTCAGGACGCGCTGGTGGCCCGTCGAGCGCGCGTCCGGTCTGGGGCTGTGGGCAGAAGTCAGACAGAGAAGCCAGACAAAAACCTGCCTTCTCGACAAAACGCCGCGACTAGGGCTGTACCAAAAGAGACGAGACAGGGTTTGAAGGTCAGTTTTCATGCGCTCGGTTCGTCCGAGAACGTGGATATGTGCCGTGAAAAGGGAGAACCAGACGCCGTCGGACCACGATTGCTTGGGCGGGAAGCAATTTGGGTTGAATTAGCGGATAATTGTGGTTATCAGATTCATTTGTTTTGTTCCAACTTGAACGCGGGAAAAGCGTCAAGTTGAACGGACCACCCGCGGACTACGTTCAGTGCGTCTTCAAGTTCAAACGGCCGCCTGATCGTTCGAACTGCCGTTTGCTCTTTCAAGCCAGTTTCAAGCGACACCCCGTAGACCAAACGTTGGCCCGGTAATTGTGTTAAGAAGTAAGGGCAAGCTTTAAAAGACGTTTAAGTTTGAAGGTTGGTTGGGGTAAGCAGGCTGGGTGTAAACAGTAGGTACACGGAGATGTTGACCATTGTTACCAGCGGCCATCACCGACTTGTTATGCCTGCTTCACTTGGTCCGATTCTGCTTGTGATTTTCAGTATCGACATCGACCACCTCAGTTACGGTCCACGCTTTTGCAGCCCGAGCGAGGTCGCGACCGAAAATTGCGAGCGGAATCTCATGGGAATCAGGCTTTAGCGTCCATTCTGCGGCGTCCATGTGGGATGAATCACCGCATATTACATTATTCACGAGAAGTTTTGCGGTGTAACGAGCCTCGGAAATTTTGCTGAAGCCGCTCTAGTAGTCAGACATTGCCAGGAAGACGTAGAATCAACAATTCCAACTCGAGAAAGAGCACGGGGACTCGCACCGACGCCGACAACATCGCATTCCTATGGTTTGTTTATATGGGCAACGGCGAGCTTCTTGCCCACACTCCATCGCGCATGTGCGGCGCCGGAGGCGTCCGCTAGGGGCGCTCCGGTTTGTTTGTAAACATGAGCGGCTGTATAGGGGATGTATTTCTCGAAAGAGAGGTGCTAAAAGGGTGAAGCCATTTGTGTAAATATCTGGAACACCGGTCCATATCGCATTAAGTGTGTGAAAGAATTCATTGTGCATGCTACCACCGAGCTTCCGTCACGTTCATTTCACATCATCAAAGTTCTTTTTAACAAATGAAGAGTCCCAAATACGCTTAGGCTTCTTGACCACAACCAATCAGTACCTACTGATTGGCCCTACACTTCTAGGAACAGATGATAGTCAATTGTTCTTTTTCTTATTGAAAAACAACAATAAAAACACCATCGAAGCGAAGATGGTGTTGAAAGCGCTCATTCAGGGCGGTAAAGTTTGCTGTTCACCAATACGCAGCCAAGTAAGGTGCGAACAAGCGACGATGTTGCTTTGGCGCTAACGGTCTTGTGTACACACACGCGAGAAAAACAGCGACAAGAGAAGTTCATGACGGAAGCCCTCAGTGCTCCGTCCGCGAATTGCCGTCGTACACATGTTTGCGGGGTTTGGGTAGTTATCACTATGCACCCAACAAAACCTGGAGCGTTCGAAAGCGCACGAGGATGATTCCGGTACCGGGTTCGCTGCAGGCGATGAGGCACATCTCGTCGGGCGTTCTGTAGGAACCGGTGAGGAAGCACTCGTTCAGGTTGTACTTGGCGCAGACGGAGCGCTTGCAGTGGCCGTCCTCGCATATCTGGGTGCCGTGGTTGCACAGCGTGCCATTGGGCTTGGGCGCCGAGGGCGGACAGTCCGAAGTCAGCCCGCTGACTCGAGTCAAGGCTAGGCACGACTCAACGAGGAGTTCACTATTCTCTGGTGTACACCGGTAGACCCAGAAAAGTAGCCCCCCAGCCGCCTTTTTGTTGAAATCTTAGAACACCAAAACGTTCCGAATTGGAGCTGTTTTAAAATACGAACCCAAGTTATACACACACAAAAACAAATGTATCTTTAATTAGAGCTTTATGTTGTTTTCATCCGGAACACTGTAACGACTGAACTGTCTTCTATATTCGCTATGTCAGCTTATTTAGCGACTCTTGTTTCCGCTTCTTTTCTCGGGAACCCCAATCCCTTATCTCGTTCCCTTCTTTAATCGGGACGTTTTGCAAGCCTATTCTGGTCACGCACACGTTCCCTCGAGGATAGGGAATCCCATGGCCGTGTTCCGCTTTCTTTCAAATAAACCACGATTAACGCCGACTTTGTTTCGGGAAACAACCAACATCGGCATAACAAAAAAAAAAAAAAAAGACACCGCAAATGTATTAAAACAAAATCCCGAAAAAAAAAAAAAAAAAAGAAACCGCCCAAATTTGATCAAAAAAAAAAAAAAATAAATAAACCCCAAACACAGATATCTATATTTCTAACTTAACGGGGTTGTCGCAAATCTGGAGAGCTGGTCACGCTATTTTTAATTACACCTTCAGACGTATTAGAAGAAGAAGAAAATAAAAAAAGTGACCCACTTTGATTGTTGCTGTGGTATTATTAAAGGTAAAATGGGGTGACTGATATATAGATTTCTTTAACGGGATGAAAGGATACTCGCAGGTGGCCTCGAAAGAGCAGTCGTCGTCTTCCCGGCACACAAAGGTACTTTTACGAACGGTGCAGTTTTTATTGCAGCAGGCTCCGTTCGAAGGGCTGAAATGAGCCGGCACAACCGTGCATAAATTAGTCTACAACTATACAGTGACTAACAGCAAAAGAAAAAAAAAAAAGGTGGGCGGGGCTTATATACGTTTTTTTTTTATTCGTAACTGGTTCTTCTGCGCTCTAAAGGCCCGTTCACACTCTTGCGACCGAGTACGACTGAGAGAGACGAGATCTCTTACAACTTCTTAAATGTTTCTAGAATGAGGGAACACACTGACATTGTGGCGCCATCTATGCGGTGACCCTAGAACTGCATTTCACAAAAGCGAAGGTTTTGCGGGATTTCCGAGGTCAAATGTGCGTAATACCCATAGAAAGGCTCGTTTATAACATTGACAAAAGCTTTTCGAGTCAAAAAAGAAAGGATATTGCGCGAGAAATAAAAAAAATATGCCGGACCGCCGAGTTTACACTGCTTCCCAATAGATGGCGCCAGTGTGTTCTCTGGTTTAAGAAGTTTTAAGGAACCCAGGTTTAAGAGGTCGCAAGCAGTCGCAAGAGCGTGAACGGGCCCTTATAGGCTATAGTGCTGCAATCTGATTGGCTGCGGGATGATCCTAAAACTGCTTAATACTTTCCACACCCTGCGCTTCCTAGGCTCTGAGTTACTTGTCAGTTACGGTATCGTTTATCCCTTACGGGTGTGTAAACTGGATTCGGCGAAACGAGCACTTCCATTAAAAAATGCACCTTTCAAAGCGAGCTTACCTTGTTCGCCGTGCTCTGAAAAAAATGCCCGTGCGTTAACTTTCCTGCAGAGCACTCGTTGAATCGACCGCTGCCATTCACCCGTGAGGAGCTCGGCGAGTGATGACGCCGGAAATATGCGTAGGCATACAAAGAAAGCCTGCACAATGTCACACCAGGCACGAGGTATCATTCCCACGCCATGCTCGCCGATGGGTGTACATCGTAGACATCATTTTTAGGCCCTATTTCCGGCATCGTCTTTCGCCGAGTTCTTGTTTTGCATTGCAGCGATGGACTCGCCGGGTGCTCTGCGGGAAAATAGACGAAGGGCATTTTTTAGAGTGTTCACTCGTTTGAGACGATGGTCCAACAAATGGTAAAAAGTACACTCATAAGACGGCATGAAGGGTACGTGCGGACGATATTTTACATCATTGCTGAAATTACGTATACAATACTAGTAAGGTAATAACACTTTTTTTCATATTAGAGAAATATTGGTACGATTTTGCCGTAATGTTTGCTAAGGCCACGTTACTTCTAAAACTATTACATCAAACTAACTTTTTTGCGTAATTTTACATCATTATAGTAATGACGATTTTTATTATGAAGGCACTTGTCTCCAGTGTACAGCCCATGCAGGATCATACGGAATAATATGCATTGCTCTAATTCGCCTCCTGATTATATTTGCTCAGTTTTATATAGCGCCTGGTATCTATGCTTATCGACCCTCTCCTTTGACTTAAAGAGGGAATTTTCTTCCCGGCAGAAGAAACAATCGTCTTCTGCCGGGAAGAAAGCCGGTTCTCAGGTTCACATGATTCTATGCGAGGACGACAGTCGACAAAGGGGACAAGGGACAGACGCACACGTCCACTTTGTCGTCCGCCGCCTTGAGGTAGTCACCTGTAACGGTAAACAGCGCGCTTGTGTATTCACCTTGTCATCCCAGTTTCCTTCTCCCCATCCCCTCTCACATTCTTCTCTCGTCCTCGCCCCACGGTAGCGGGTGTTTACGCTGCTGCTCGCAGAAAGGAGAAGAGTATCCCTCCTTCCGATTGAAATAGGAATTGAGGGACAGTTTCCTCCCTACTGGCTGCTCGTCGGCCTTCAAGCGCAGCGAAAAAAAGAAAAAAAAAAAGAAGGAAATATTTGACTGGCCGTTAAAACAACTTGGAATGCAACACTTTCGCCGCAAGTCTACAAAGTTACAAACACCTGCCGTTGGAAGGTGCCTTCCATAGGGTTCTGGTACAAAAAAAAAGCATTCGGCTCGGATAGCTTCATGTGCCCGTGCCTTTGCTTGCAGACATTGGTGAGATGATTACTCTATCCTATTACAACGCGTACAAATCCATGCATGCATAGCCCCAGCGTGAGATCTCCACAGCCTAGCACGCGCATATTCGCCCCTTTGGAAAGCGAGCAAAGCGCGCGCAATACGCACAAACGCTGAAATCAAAAGCCCCTCCTGGAATAGTTAACCGAAAGCGGTGTATAGGCAGGCGCCCTCTTCAGAGTTTGTGGGTATGGCGCGTGCTTTGCTCGTTTTCCAAAGCAACAAACATGCGCGCGCTGGGCTGTGGAGATCGAACGCCGTACTGTGGATTCGTAAACATAGGAACTGGCGGCCATGGCTGTGTGCGCGACTGCTGAGCGTGTGCTTAGGGCGAGCTTCCACAGCATGTCCCATGCCACGAGCATTCCGCACCTTTAAGATTGCCGATCATAGCAGCCTATTAATGTGAGCTTGTTCTGAGCATGCGCTCTAAACAGCGCGCCCCAAGGAGCGTTTGCCTACGTTACGTTATAACTTATGAGTCACCGAAATATATGTGCAATGTTGCGTGCACGGCTATCTCCTTGAAGTACTTGCCACGCTTCATACGAAGCACAAATGTCCCGGTGACTGTCGGCGTAAGCAGACGTAACATAAAAAAAAATGCAAGCAAACTGTACTGCGTAAACCGGCCTTGAGCCAAAAAGAGAGCGCCACGCTTTGAGTCTTTCATGCCGTGCATGCACTGTCGTGAAACGAAACCGTCCTTCGAGATAACGCTGTCGTGCTTTGTGGCCATCATCACAAGCTGTGGGCAACTTGGCTTATTACCTGCCATGAACAGTACTCTTGACAATGCGAAGTGGCTCCGAGGGCCGTCGCGTTCCTCACCTGCAGGAAGCACCCGGCTTGAGGGTGCACGCTCTGTGGCTGTCCTCGCCGTGCTCGCGAGCGTAGCAGCAGCTTTTCTCGCACTCCGCCGACATGAAGCCGCAGTCGCATTCCTCGCCTTCTTCGCGGATGAAGTTGCCGCAGTAGGGTCCTCGAGGTTCTGCGACAGAGGGTTGAGACGCGCACGCTTCAAGGGGCCGTGAAACAATTTCCGCGCATTCGCAAAATACTGTATAATATTATTTCTTGGTGTACTATAGATAGGCCTCCGTGTTTTCGGAGTTTATTTTTTTGTTAAATTCGGAGGGTGTTTTTCGGAGTTTATTTTTTGCCGAAGATTCGGAGTTTATCGGAGTTTATATTTGTTTGATTTCCAATTCTCCGAAATTCGGAGTTTAATTTCGCAGTGTTTCCTATTGAAAATAAATATCAGAATAATAACCGGATGTAAAAGTATGCCAGATAAAAAAATAAAACGCGCTTGTATCGATTAAACTATTTTCAGTTGAATCTGAGGTTCGTGCCATTGCCATTGGCAATATTAATTTGCCGTACGAAAAAAGTTGCACACAAGTGTTGCTTCGATAAACGTCGATACCTTAAAATCAATGAATTCCCGGGGGCAGTCGCTACGAAGCTCGTAGTCATCCCATCGTATTCCATCAATCTAGCCCGCGGCAGCGCGAGGTGGAGTGATTAAGGATGTAATAGAGAGTTTCAACTGTCCCTTTTTTCTATTTAATACAATCTCTAAGGTCCATAGCTTTCACTCTTACAAAAACATACCTTCTCCTTTCTCTAAATCACAAATCGCATGGCTCAAACTGGAAACCAAAAGAGTGGCTTTTGTCGTGACCCGAATGTACAATGGCCTGTTGCCCTGAATCAACCTCGACGAGACAAGCGGCAAGACCCCCTTTGACAACGGCCTGATATTTGAAAGATAATTGTGGTGACATTTTCCCAGTACCATTGACTCCGTGCTAACAAAATTGTAAAAATAAATAAATAAATAAATGAATTATTTACTTTTTTTTTGCGGGGGGATTTGGGGGGGGGGGGGGGGGGGTGGCATTGGAACATAAACATTCGGAGTTTATCGGATAAATTCGAATTGACCAAAATTTTACCGGCGGGTGTTTTTCGGAGTTTTTCGGATTTATCCGAAAACACGGAGCCCTAACTATAGCGAACAATATGAGGTGACGCGTAGATCCGAAGAATTTCAGTACCATATAGCGGATGAAAGATGAGTTATCATTGAGGCCATAGTGTGAACGAGTGGCATTTCAGCGGCTATACACGAACTCATCTCTGTTACGTCACGGCGCGGTGGTGACGCGTCGGTCGCACTTCCGGTCTGGAGCTGTGGGCAGAAGTCCCCATGCCAGACGTGTATTTCTGCGTTGTTTTGAAAGGAACCAGTCAAAAACCTGCCTTCTCGTTAAAACGCCGCGACTGGGGCCGTTCCAAAAGTGTCGAGAAAGGCCTGACGGTCAGTTTTCACGTGCTCGGTTCGTCCGAGAATATGGATATGTGCCGTGAAAAGGGAAAAGCAGACGCCGTCGGACAACGATTGCTTGGGCGGGAAGCACATTGGGTTCAATTCACGGATAGTTGTGGTCATCAGATTTATTTGTTTTGTTCCAACGTGAACGCCAGAAAACCGTGAAGTTGTGCGGACCACCTGCGGACTACGTTCAGTGCGTCTTCAAGTTCATTCGAACTGTCGTCTGCTCTTTCAAACGCTTCTGCTTGTCGTCTGCTCTCTTAGAGGACGCCGACCCGTAGACCAAATCTTGGCCCGGTACTCGCGATAAGAAGTAAGTGCACGGCTGAAAAGACTTAAATTTGAAGGTTGGTAAGCAGGCTCGATGTAAACAGTGGATACCAAAAGATGTTTATCATTGTTACCAGCGACCATCACCGACTTGCTAGGCCTGATTCGCATGGTCCGATTCTGCTTTAGATTTTCAATATCGACGTCGACCATCTCAGCTACGGTTCACGCTTTTGCAGCCCGAGCGACGTTGCGACTGAAAATTGCGAGCGAAATCTCATCATACGAATCAGGCTTTAGCGTACATTCTACGGCGTCCACGCGGAATGAATCGCCGCGTGTCACATTATTCACGCGAAGTTTTGCGGTGTAACGAGCCTTGTTAATTTCGCTGAGGCCGCTCAAGTAGACAGACATTGCCAGGAAGATGTAGAATCAACAATTCCAACGTGAAAAAGGGCAGGGGGACTCACACAGACGCCGATAACATCGCATTTCAATGGTTTGTTTATGGGCGACGGAGAGCTTTTTGCCCACACCCCCATCGCGCATGCGCGGCGCCGGTGGCATCCGCTAGGGGCGCTCCGGTTTGTTTGTAAACATGAGTTGGTGTATACGATTGTTCTCGCTACAACACCGCTTGGCCGGCAATCGATTGCTGAGCCGACACCGAATACCCCTGTCAGACGGGCCAGTTTAGTGTCACTACAAGCGAGTGCACTTCAACCCGTCGAAACACAAGTGTGTTGGTGCTACACAGGAAAACTTAGTGTCACTCCAGAAGGATGGCAATGACGATGGGTAAAGTAATGGGCACGTAAAATATTAAAATGCATACGCATATTTTCATAAATAACTTCGTCGTCTTATTAAAAACACGTTAGCACACATTTTTGCGCTAAGTCAGGAGCTTTAATCCAAATTTAAATCCAATTCGACCATTATGATACGCCATTACAAGCCAGTGATACACGTCCGCACGCCGGTACGATGCTCATCCAGATTGAAACGGGCAGGGTGGGGATTGAACCCAGGATCCCTGGGTTCTACAGCGCGAGCTTTCGCTCCGCCTGCTCCGAAATCGTGTGCGTGGGCCCACTCGGCCACTCGCAACTTGCCAGAACGAAACATCATGGAGTGTGTGGAGGACAAGCCGCGGTCTTGGACAGTGGAAGCCCGTGGTGGTGGCACTTTTCTCCGTGAGAACCCAACGTCTTTCAGATGAAAGGCAGCTGGAGATGGATGCCCACGCACAGGCAAGAATTTCGAGTTGCATCGATCAGCAGCTACAGGTCAATGCCTTCACCATAGCTGCTTTCATGAGCGACCCGTGAGCAGTCGAGAACGGGTGGAGTTTCCAGAGGAACGAACGGTGGTTCGAAGACACCTTGCCTCCTTTGGGCGAGTTCCATTTCAAGCAAGCCTTTCGCGTCTCTCCTGCCACCTTCAGATTGCTGGTGCAGTCTTGCAGGTGCTTCCTGGCCGTCGCTGGCCGTCGTGAAGGGGCCAAAGCTGGAAACTAGATTAGCCGCTTGTTTTTCTATAATGCATTACTTTCTTGCCAACAGAAAACAAGTGTGCATCTAATATTACTCTTATCGAAATAAAACTAATTCTACGCAGCGTTAGTTTCTTCTATTATTTTTACTCCTCGAACACTGCTATCGAGATTGCACACGCGGTCTACCGGAGCGAGCCTATAGTGTGCTCCCCAAACTGACTTCATCGGAAGTGTGTTCTTCGGGCAGGGCTGCAGAATTGAGCTCAGGATCACTGGGTTCCGAGGCGCGAGCTTTCTCTCCATGTACTTCGATTTGGTGTGCGCTAGTCCACTAGGCCACCGATACCCCTTAATAAAGACACGTTAAAAAAATTAGACGTTACAATTCTCTGTAATGTCGAATTGGAGCGCAGCACTTGAGGAGGAGGAGGGAAGGGTGCGAAGGGGAGGGTATGCCCAGCTGCTTTCCTTTCGTACCCTCCCAACCTCCTCTCCTGCTCCCATTCCACTTAGCGGAAAATTTTTGCTAAATTGCCTGGTAAATTTAGCGGGGAAATTTTCCCGCTGAATTGACGTGTGACGTCATATCACAAGTCACGTGAAATTTATTGTGACGTCACACGGGTAAAATTTTCCCGCTAAATTTAGCCGAAACATTTTACCGCCAAATTTATCGGGAAAACTCTACCCTCGTGACGTCACGCGTGACGTCACGTGTGACGTCATTTTGGGAAACATCCCATAATGCAACGCGCGGTTACGCCGACGCCGACCAACCTTGAAACGGGTGCCCAGAAGCTGCTCTCTAAAACAACCCTAAATTAATGAACGATTTTTACTCCAATTGGATGATTCTGATCGATCATCGTAAGCCAAGATAAAGAAAGAAGCATATCCAACTTTGGCGTTCCGCTTCGTACCACGGAAGTCAACGAGGAGGCTCGGACACTGTCTAATTAGATCCTAATTATCGTGTTTTCTCGAATAGTTACATGCTGAATCAAAAGTAGGCTCTATCCTTCTCTGCTAACCAAGATAGCCTTGGAATGACTGACTTTGTCGTCGTCTTTTATCGATTCACCGTGGCGCTAATTTTGATTCAGATCAACCTAAACTCACAGTCCACCCCACTATTTTTTTTTTTTTTTTGCAATGCTACTTTTTACAAATTTCTTATTCATTTTAATATAAAATTTACGCCACGTTTTGTGTTTCTGTGTTGTTTTGTTTTACTGTTGAAACACTCCTATCGATGCCACGCACTTGATCGAGTGAAGCGAGTTCGTCAAGCTCACTCGAAGCCGAGTGCGCTTCGAGTGAAAGAAGCCGTGTGGCACACTAGAGAAATGACAATAAAGGCGAAGTGCATTTGTTTGAAGTGCACTAAATTAGCCCGTCTGACTGGGGTATAATAATGCTCTGTGAAGTAAAATAAAATACCGTTTGTTGTCATTCATCCCACCAACTTGTTATCAAACGCCCAAAAACTGATAACTCAACCTGCCGACCCGGTAGATTCAGCCACGCTTGATTTTGCATTTTGTCGCAAAACGCCTCTATATTCGACAAAATCAGAGTTAACTCAGCAAAAGCTTCAATTGGCGACAAAGATTGAACATCCGCTAGAGCCTCAATACTGGTTGAGGTTTCTTCTGATACCATCATAAATAGCGCGGCAGGACCTGTGAGCCACACGTACACTCGCCTGGGCTTTTTTTTATATCGCCTGCGACTGTACCTCCCAGGTTTTGAGAAAGCTGTGGTCCAAATGAAGAACGACATGCGAAAGTGAAGTCCCAGGCTAAGAATTACTTGACAAATTTAATCAAAATTTCAGGGACCGCAGACGCAGAAAAGGGCCGGCCATGGTGTTCGAGCTCATAATGTCCGCGGGGGTACATAACCCACAAATCATGAGTTAGTTTTCACCTACGCATGAAAGCAGTCGCCGAAAAAATCTAGAAAAAAAAAAAAAGTGACGCGTTTACCTTTTCGGCTCGCAGAAAGGCCGAGCGCTCGAGCAGTCACGTGATGTGGTGCCGATTATATGCCGTCAATGTTCATAGTCCCGCACTGGGGTTGGCAAAGCACATAGCAGGTGCTGAGACTTGAACATTGTTAAGGTTTGGTTGTTCCCGCCACTGCAGGGCGATTTGACGCGAGCAACTACCCAAATGCTCGTGAAGGCATTGTCTGTCGCGAGCCCACGCCGAGTGCTCAAGTAGTGCTCATGTACATTCTTTGAGCTGCATTTTTATATCATCATCATAGAGTAACCATACAACATTGTCACAAATTAAGAGGTGATGAAACAACAATAACTGAGGAAACAGAAGCGTTTAATTGGGCGAACTTGTACCCAAAACAAAAAGGAAACAGAAGATACAACAGAGCGTCGCGGCTGTCGAAGTCGGCGTAACAGCGAGATCGGACGCTGGGGCGAGACTGACTCCGGCTTGCCACGCGGAGCACCTTTTGCTGCCGCATAGGTCTCTCGAACAGTCGGCGTAGAAAGTTCGGCGCGTAGAACATTCGTAACTCGATCAGACAAGAAAGTTTTTGAATTTGCGAGAACGCCAAGCAGAAATAATAATTAAAATGACATTCCGCTGCCTGGAATCAAACCCAGACCTTCCGCGCGACAGCCGAACACGGCAACCATTCGGCCAGATACGCGCTCGCTCAGCGACGCGCGTGGCAATTTGATCTTCGTTACTGTTAATCAAGTGTTCCGAAGGAGTAACTGAAATAATAAAGTCCACTTTTATCCTACAAATTATACGCCGCAACAAAGACGCTCCTTGGTCAGGGGTGTGGACTCGGGACCACACTCGGGTTGGTGAGGAGCTGACACAAATCCACACTCAGTGTGGGTTCGTGACAGCCTCGGCGAGCATTCGGGTAGTTGCTCGTGTCAAATCGCTGTAGTGACGGCGCGTCTCCAGCTCGTTTCTCGCCCTCTCGCGGCGGAAACGGGAAGCGCTCCAGCGAGGGCTTACCGTCTCTCCTGCTCATCGGGCGGGGCGGAACTGCTCGCGATCATGGCTCGCGAACAGCCATTTTTGAGTGCAAACAACACTCTTCACTGTACAAACGTACTGCTGCAGCACGTAGAAAATTGAACCTTATTGTTACCGATTTTCCAATGCCAACTAAAGGTACCGCAGGGAAGACATGCACGTGCCAACGGGACTTTTCAGTTCCTTCGAACTGAAAGGCTGAGATCAGAAAAACGACAGTATGTGTAAATTAAAGAAAATAAATGTACTGGAAAAATTTTGTAAATAAATAAATATATTAAAAACAAAACAAAATCAACTTTTTTTTTTTTTTTGAGGGGGGGGGGGGGGGGTGGGGGGGGCGGGCATTTTGTTCGAAAGGATTGGCAGCGAATTCGTAAATTTTGCCGATTGTCAAAGGTCGCGACTTTGACAGCACCATAGGCTTTACCCTTTTTGACCGCATCATATGCAGAACACTGTGCCCTATGTCGGAGCGCCGACTGAGCGCGCGTGGTGTGTCATCGTCCTCCAGGTGCTGTCTAATGGTCACGTCGCGTTGGCCTAACGACGGCCACAATGCGTTGACATTTCTCTGGTGGTTGAGGGAGAGTGCTTCATCCAAGAGTGGTGCTCTGGTGCCTGGAACGCGTCTCCGACTGGTGTGGTAAAGACATCCTCTCCATTCATCCAAAGGGGACCCGAAGTGGAAACAAATGACGTCACAGCAGCCGGAGTGTCATGCCGGCAAAAAGCACCAGCGAACGCGAGTGGCGTATGTTGTGTCGCGGCGTCCCAACTCCTAGCTGAGGAAGCCTCCGTGGACTGTCCAGCTGAAGAACGACCCGCAGAAGAACCGGCGTCTGCTACATTCGCCACCGCTGCTACTGTGACACCGCCAGGATCGCAACCGGCAACAGCATGGCACTTATATGACGTCATCAGGCAGAAATTGAGGGACCACTTTTTTGAACGCGGTACACACACCGGTTGGAGTCGCGCTTCCCCAGGCACCATATAGTGGTGCTGGTGCCGATGCTTCTGAAAGAGATTGGCTGTGCTCCAAATCTTACCTAATTAAATGGATACGAAATAAGCCGGAGGGTCATGTCACGTGACAACATAGATAAAAAAAAAAACGCTAGACGCAGGTAGGTTTTTGAATGCCAAGGTACAAAACCCTTACCCTGGACAGTAAGATCGAGTAAATTTTGGAACACAGCTCGGACGGAACAGCATCCATAACAATATACTTCTACATGGCTTGAGCAGTCTCGTGGTTTCATGTGACGTGATAAATGACTGGATAACAAAATGAGCGTTGGGATGCTCGTTGTTTTCACACACTCCTGCAGTTCCCACTTGCCGCAAATGGCTGCGTCTTGACCCAGTGCCGGCCAAATCCATGCATCTGCCGCTTTCGTCCAGCATCAGCTTTAAATTGCCCGGTCGCTGCAGCCTTTCAGAGGGTAGGACGCTTATTTCACTGTGCAACTATAATCACTCTTTATACATCTTGTGCCCTCGCTAAATTAATGAAAAAAGAAGTAGGTGTGCCTGTTGCAGCAAGGTTCCTTACGTAAAACGAAGCGGCAGATACAAATGAAAGACGTTTACAATCCACTGTAACGTCGAATTAGAGCGCAGCTCTTGAGGAGGAGGAGGGGAAGGTACGGAGAGGAGAGTATGCCCCTCCTCCTCATTCGTACCCGCCCCTCCTCCTCTCCCTCTCCCCTCCCATTTAGTAGAAAATTTTCGCTAAATTTCCCGATAAATCTAGCGGAAATTTTTCCCGCTAAATTTGGCGGGGAATATTTTCCGGTAGATCTAGCGGGAAATTTTTGCCGCCAAATTGCAACGCGCGGTGACGTCACTCGTGATTCTCGTGACCGTCATTATGGAAAACGTCCCATAATGAAACGCGCGGTTACGCCGCCGGCGACGACGACGCCGCTCAAGCCGGGAACGAGCGCCTAAGAGCGGCGTTCTAAAAAGGCAATGCATGAAGGACGGCGTTAAAATCTCAACGAATTCTGGCGCTGCCTTTCGGAAGGTAACGTCGGTGTTCTAACCTGACCCCAACCGAATTGTCTACCAGTTCTTGAGTATACGGACCCTGGAGGCAGTTGGCACGAGGACCGTCGCCAGAGAAGAGCTGGTGGAGCACCAGAGAGACGTTGCGCACGCTGCACGGAGAGAACTTGCGGTTGTTGGGCAGGTTGCCGTGGGTGGCGCTCTCGTACATGATGTAGTTGCCCACAATGCTTCCGGGCACGCATTCCGGCGGGAAGTCGTGCTGCGACAAACGCACGCGTATCAAGCTGGATAGGACTATCGGCGGCAAAATGGACTTCAAAGTAATGGGACATTTATTGAGGAAACTAACTCGCAGTGCATCATAACAGCGCCTTTTACATTAAGATCGCCAACTTTTATTGTAACTCCTAAACCGGAATAACCTATAAAATAAAAGTAACAAGGACAGCCGTTTTGATGTTTAAAATATTCTCGTAAACGATAAGTTACGAGGCCCAAATTGAAAGCCACAAAGCCGATCTAAAGCAGTGGTTCTCAACCATCGATATTTCGGGGACCCCTTGTCAATCGGCGGAGATGATGGAGGACCCCGTTCGTGATGAAGGGAAGGGAAAAGTATTAGTTAAATGTAATAATAATTTAATAAATGGATATAACCAAGGGCTAGTGTAAAGTAGGCCTCTGTTATTGACATGCACACAAGAAAACTCGCCCGAAAACTGAAACATTCCTTCTCCGACCTGAAAAAAGACAACTTTTATTGCCAGGCTTGACTGATTAGGCAGCGCTTCGCGGACCTCTAGAAGGCTTTCGCGGACCCCAAAGGGTCCGCGGACCCCCATTTAAGAATCACTGATCTAAAGGATATTTGAATGGGAACCGACATGTAAACCCTTCGCAGTAGCCTTTAAGAAGCGCGGTATAACCTCCATAGCCCTGACTGCGAAAGCATGCGCTGGGAACCTCCTGGGTTCGATCCCCACTGCCCTCGCCCGTTTTGATCTGGATTAGTTTCGTACCGGCACGCGTTCGTGTAATCACTACTGCGTTAAAAACGTAAAAAAAAGCAGGTTAGCGGTTGTACTGCACTGGCTAAATAAATTGCTCATCTACAGCGAAGAGACCGGTCACCCGTTGAGGCGTATCTCCATCAAGGCTGTATATATATACAAAGCAAGCCCTTTTTTTTTTTTTTTTTTTTGTAGCTTTGACTGTCTCTTTGCGCGAGTTTTTATATTTTCTTCCTAGCAAAAGAAAGAAAACGAAGAAAAATGGGGGAGAGCGAACGAGAGTGAATTCAACGAATTCCGAAACTATGCTCACGTGGGGTTTTGGACTTTTCGGCGTAGGGGGTTTCGGTGTAGGACGTTTCGGTGGGGACTTTTCGGTGCACGGACATTTCGGTGCACGACCAAGCAAATTCACGATTTTTTTTAACGTAATAAGCATTACTTTAGCTAAAAATTTACTTTTCGTGCTTTATAATTTTCTAGACTTGGTCATACATTTGCGGTCACTTACTGATATACCACCCAAGTGACTTTGTTCGGCGCAGTACCATCCTGCTTGAGGATTGAAGACGTTGGACGTTAGGGTTCGTTCGCCGGCGTATTTTTTCCGACGTACGCACTATACGCATCACATCGTGTTTACGCGTTGCTTCCATAGAGGAGTTCTTGGCGTGTTTTGTAAGGGTTTGAGCTTTATTGTTGACGATCCGTGTAGGAAAGGCCCCAACAGCAAGAAGCTTGAGAATGTTGAAAATTACCCGAGTAGAAATTAAGTAATTTCCCGGAACTTTCAGACGTCCTTCTTCCCGTGTCCTTTTTCTTTTTCACGAAGTATCCCGTCTATTACCAGAGTCTCGGATTATTTTTCACCATGATCAACATCCACCAGTTCGCGTGCACACTCGCAGTTTTTTCGTAAAGCTTGGGAAGTTGTTTATGAATGATAGCTGAAAACAATTTGGAATATTTAGAAATGTGCGTCCGCCGCGAACTCGTATACCATCGATGGTTTAGCACACCTTAGAGGAGAAATTAAAGCTCTTCCTGTCCGTCACGCATCACAAGGTTTGTAATATAAAGCAAGACATAAAACACATTAAAATTACCCGAGACTGTGGTGAAAGATGGAAATATCATGGAAGAAAAAGGACAGAGAGGAAGAAGGACGTCTTAAAGTTCCACGAAGTTTCCCATCTTTTACCACAGTCTCTGGTAATTTTCAACATTCCGAAGTTTCTTGCTGATGAGGCCTTTTCTACAGATTACCACTAATAAAGCCCACACCTTTACAAAAGACGCCGAGAGCGCCTGTATCGACACAACGCGTAAACACGATGTGATGAGCCTAGTGCGTACATCGGAAAAGAGACACCGGCAAACGGAACATAACGTCCAGCGTCTCCAGTCCTCCCGCAGGATGGTGCTGCGCCTAACAAAGTCACTCAGGTCGTAGATCAGTAAGTTCCCGTAAATGGACGACAAAGTTTACAAAAGTATAAAGTGTAAAAAAAGTTATTTTTCGCTAAAATAATGCTTTTCACTTTTAGACAAAAAAAAAAAGAAAAAAAAAAGCTGGCCCTTTTGATTGACCGTGCACCGAAAAGTCCGTGCACCGAAAAGTCCGTGCACCGCAAAGGCCGTACCGCGAAATCTCCGTGCACCGAAAAGTCCGTCCGCCGAAAAGTCCGTGCACCGAAAAGTCTGTGCACCGAAAAGACCGCACCGAAACGCCCTACGTCGAAACCTCCTACCCCGAAATGTCCAGATCCCGTATCCCGCTCAGGTGACCACACACGTGAACTCGCCTTCCTCTACCATCCTCGACGGGGTCGGAGCTTCGACGGCTTGACCGTTGGCTTCGGCATGTTCGCGCAGTCATGGCGCTGACAACGCTTGAGCTACTCCCTTCTTTTTTTTTTTTTTCGGTCCTCCGTCATATACTGTGCGCTCCTGAAGATCGCCAGGGTGGCTCTAATAAACAAGGACAGTCAAACGAGGGTTTAAATTTGTTATACTGTCTGGTGGTACAAGTAGAGAGACAAATGTTTATTTTATTTCTTTTTCGCTCTCACTCAAACACTGAAACTGAAACAAGGACGGCTGGAGAAGTCTGAATGTATGGGCCACCTCGGGAAACCTGCTTCGTTGGCAACTTGCTCCCCGCTGCTGAAATGGGGTCGTTGTCGACATGGACAAGCGGCGCACGAAAATTAGGGCACCTTGGGGGAGGGCACCTTGGGTGACTTGAAAAGCTCAACTGTTTGGTTCAACTGAACAGCTCGGTAGTTTGTACATAATAAAAAAATAACTGATTTTACAAACAAAAAAAAAATCTTCATGAATTTATGCAGCATTCCCCTCCGCCCATCTCAGCCCAGAAATATTTGTATTTTACATCGAGACACGAGCAGCAGCATTCCACACATATAACCGTGTTTATAGGGATGCCACTTTATGAATGGTCGACATATCCTCAATATTTAGAGACCCCACACGCTTAGCGAAGATTTTTTAGTTTGTGCACTTCTCAGGAAGAAGTTCCAGACGAGGTTCTTTCTGCCGGCCTTCACTTTTATAGCCAGCAACCGGGAAAATTGCGGTTCAAGATGGAAGGTAGAGAGAACTCGCACTCAGAATGCCTCATGTCCCCTTGATGAAGACATCGATGTCTATTATGTCACGAACTTCCACCTTCCTAGCGCATTGTGTTGTCTCGTTCCTACCCTTCGTCCTTGTCGTGAAGCGCTATTATGTTCTCCAAGTTCCTTTCGATGCTCAGCTGTTGATTCTACCTCAAGAGCTGTCTTGCTCTAAGTAGAGTGTCCTTGGATTTTGGTGAGGAAGAAACCGAAGATCTGCTATGTGGTGTGTTAGAGGCCATATCACTTTAAGGACAAGTTATCCATTATCGTTTGCAAATGTAATATTGAATTGTTTTAAACCATTTTTTGCCGGTTCTTCGAATACAGGACATATCCGTCGTCGTGGCCGCCGCGTGTTTTGTGTTGATTTTCGGTTTAATTAATAAACTATAATCTTGTTTTCATCCGCTGAGTTGTAATTATTTTGGCAGTGTCGTACAAACATCGTGGCGTTTTGTATCGTGTTCGACGATGCAGAAATCATTTTTCGGTTCATAGAAAAATAGAGTGTCTGAGACACCCCTAGACTGGGAAAGCTCATCTCAGGAACGCACTTTCCGAGGCTACATCGTCGGAGTCTCAGGCACTTTATTTTTGTATGGACCGACAAATCTGCTGCGTCGGTCGAAAGCACTTTTGCGTTTGACTCTGGCGAAAAGTAGATGCGTATAACGTAGCCTCCAAAATATATCTGAAGCATACCTACATTATATCTGTATACCTACATTAAATGTTACAGAAATATCGGTTACAATGTAGCTTAAAAAATAGAGGTAACTAGGATTTGAAAGTGTGCACCCATGCTATAGGTTACCGAACCTAGAGTGTAGGTGCATGGACCCCGGTCTGGCTACTTGAAGAGATCGTTCCGTTCCCACCGACCTTTATGCCCTGGATTTACGCACCGGATAATGGAACATCCGCTACTGACCGCTAACGATCGGACTAAGGAATGTCAGTTGCCATCATTACAAAATTAAGAAAATACAATTTGTAGCCAAGCACGAGTGTTCTCAATCAAAATGAAATTACCCGCTGCATTTTAACACAGAAATAAGCAGTATAGTCTTTGCAGTAAAGCCGACCTGTGAAAACTGCGTTTGGCCGTTCCGAGAAAGTGGAAGCGATTTCGATCACTTCTAGAGAATATACAACGAAAAAAAGAAGGGGGAAATCGCATTAAGCCAATTGAAAGTTCATATAATCGGCAGCAATAATAAAAAAAATTGAACGAAATAAAAAAATGTTTTTTTCGATAAAGTGAGTTCAAAATATCGGTTAATCTCATTTTCGGCGATATTTCAAATTTTATATAAACAATTCCGTTAAATAAAATAAGCTAAACTTATTCCCGTCTATAGCCCATGTGTGGGACTGCACCCTCATAGTATTTGGTAAGCCGCAAATATAATAACTCATGAGTTACAAGGCTCTGAAGATGCCACCGGATTGTCAAAAAGACGTTGTTTGGCATGTTTTACCTCAATAAACAGAAATACAAAAGTATTTCTTTAACTAAACAAAAATGTCAAAATAACATGCAAGCGCTCAAAGAATAACTGAGTTTTGTATGGTTTTTGTATTCATACAGCGTACAGAACTGGGTTGAAAAATCCGGGAGTAAAAACACATATTTTCACCCTGCTCCATTTAATTTTTTTTTTTTTTGTGTGAAGCGAAATATTTTTTTGGAAGTTTTTAAAAGTGACTTTGTTCTTTGCAGAAAAGAGGCAATCACATATATAATTTAAAAAAATCGAAAGACCCACCCCGACAAGCGATAGCTGAATGGTTTCAAATAAAACCACCCAGCTATCGCTTTCGTTTCTTCGCATATTATGGGCGAAAATTAAGACTTCTTTTTTCAACTGGTATCTGGCCATGCTCTTTCGTTTAACTAAGTAGACTCTACATTCACCCCATTTTGTTTTGGCCTGTCAATGTTTGTAGTTTGGCCCAAGGAGCGAGCGCATTATTTTGTAGCTACCGACAACTTCAAAAACGCAGGGCTTAGCTTGTTATGCTCTCGTTTCGTGCGTCCCTTTTCGTTCTTCGGTGTTCTATAGTCAGCTAATGGCGCTATCTCATTTTGTACCGAGAGATAATAAGAGGCTCAAGGACTGGCCACAGGCTTCTTAAGCAATCAGATTACCTCAGTTGTGGAACTACCACGGGGGGGTACTCCCCCCCCCCCCCCCCCCCCCCCCCTCTTTCACTGCAGTCCGCCTCCAGCCGTTTGAATCGCCATCTAAATTTTCCTTTTAAAACTGTGTGTTCCATGAAGTATGGTGAAAGACGATGTGCTTCGTAACATACGTATTCCACAGAATACACGTAGTTACCATAGATGTCGTCTGACGCCTCGAACGACGGGATGCGAGCCGTGGAGAGATGGAGAGGGGGTTTCTGAAGTCAAATTTGGGATTTTTATGTACCAAACCAACGACGGGCCTCTGGCACGCCCTATCGGAAGACTGAGTATTAATTTCGACCACCTGGGGATCTATTGACGTGCAACCGAAAGCTCGGTTATATGGCGCCTTCTACGCAAGAAGCCTTAAAAGTTAGTTCTGTATGACCGCGCTATAGGCTGCTTCTCACTGAAGTCTCGACATTCTGCGATATGTAAAGTCTAACGAAAGTCTGTGAGTTCGCTTTCGTTCATAACACGGAGACAGTCATCCAAGGCGAACAGTCCCAGCGAGTGACGAAGGTAATGATACGATTAGACGCGAAAAATGCGATGTGAGCCCAGACAATGAACAAGTGAAACGTCATGCTGACTCTTCCATCGCACATCACATTTCTTAGAGCATATTTTGGTCTGATCGGGTATTCGGAGCTTCCTCGTTCGGTGGCACCCTAACATTGTTCGCTACAATTCGCCGTCTCCGTGTTATATAAATAAAATATTAAATTTAGTTAAATACAGTGTGGTGCAAGAGTACCGGAGAGCCGAAGTTGTGTCCCAGCTCGTGGGTGAAGGTGATGTGCGTGATCCGTTCGGGCACGCGGGAGTTCTGGTTCAGGAAGGTCACGATGCCGGTGTTCAGGCTCAGCCTGCCCAGGAACGACGAGGACGAGTGCAGGCTCGACCCGCTCTGGAACTTATCGCAGATGCCGCCCGCGGTGCCCGGGAACCCTGGCGAGATTGGCAGATGGGCTCAGCTTGCTTCCGAGGCTATCGTCGGCCCACACGCACTTCCTCGCATAGGGTTCGTCTTGTAGTTAGCTTCGCTATACTTCGTTCACCCCTAAGCTGAGACTGCGGCGGAACAACGCTTGCCTATTTTTGCTGCTTTCGTTCATTTTTATGCGAGCCTTAAAACATACGTTGAGCATTCATTTTTGTAAAACCCAGCACACATTTTGAAGCCATCATAGCCATCGAGAGCTGTTACAATAAATTTTAGGCGTAAAAACCGAACAGTTGTGGAAATTGATCGTGCGTTTACTTTTAAGAAACATATTTTGCGAGATATGTAGCTCTCAAAATAAAATGAAAATAAAAAGGCTAGGATATATAAAGCAAACACTCTTTGCCCACTCATCTAGAAAAATTTACACAAATCGGTCTAACCTTACATCTGCCCATTTGTACTACCAAACCATGTACGGCCGAAAACACCGCATTCATGTTCCCATCAAACTAAATTCCTTAAGTACTCATATTTTTGTTTTTTATATCAAGATGAAGGTAATTTCTTTTTCTATACAACCGTGTATATGAAACAATGTTAGGTCAACGACCAAGCGTAATTGGTAGCAACTCATTTGTAAACGAAGTCTGGTGCACCTTAATTTTCCCCAAAATGCTCGGGGAGCCATAAACTGCGATCCACGAACAACGGGTTCCTAGCTTAAAATTAAGCGAGAAATGTAACATTGAGGACATCAGCGCGTAGCGTAAATTAGCACGTTCAGTGTCACATCGTAACATATTTTGTTTCGCGGTAAAAACTTTTTTTTAAATCATCTTTGCAGAGTGGGTGGATCCCTCCTGGCAACGCCCTTGAAGTTGGCGCGCGGTTACTTTGATCTGTATTTTTTACCTTTAAATGCTCGAAGATGTATGAATCCAGACTGCACAAGCTAAGTGGAATGTTTTTTTTGTTTTTTGTTTTTTTATACATTTCCATGATAATTAGGCACCAATAGTTCACATCCCCAGACTGCAGTACACAAAACAGGACTATAGACAATATTGGTTGCGGCTTTGGAGGGCCGATGCAAGACGTTGGGACGAAGGGACATCGCCGCCTGCTGCGATTTGACCAATCAGGCTGTGACGTCCCGGTTCCTTCATCCCGCCGTCTTGCATAGCCGCCTTGGTCTCGGGCTCAAGTATTCGATCGTTCAATGCACCTATAGAGGAAAGAATCGTGGGACACTTTAGGCACGCAGGCTAGGCAATATATAGTCAAACGTGAAAACAGCGCAAAAAATTAAACAAAGGACAAGTGGAAGAAGTGCACGGACAAAGCGCTGACTGTCAACTAAAGTTTAATTTTCAGGCGAACCAGAAAAATAAACACAGAGCATAGGAAAGAACCAATAAAGACACAAAAAAGTATACAACCCGACCGACAGGATTTCTACCACGTCATCTCCCTCACACGTGCCTCCCATTCTCCCTGATAAAAAGGACCTCATCATCCCCCAAGTGCACCGACGGTCCTTTTTATCACGGAGAATGGCAGGCACGTGTGAGGGTGATGACGTGGTAGAAATCCTGTCGGTTGGGTTGTATAATTTTTTGTGTCGTTACTGGTTCTTTCCTATGCTCTTTGTTCACTTTTCTGGGTCGCCTGAAAATTAAACTTTAGTTGACAGTCAGCGCTTTGTCCGTGCACTTCTTCCACTTGTCCTTTGTTCAATTTTTTGCGCTGTTTTCACGTTTGACGATGTTAAACCAACTAGCCCAGCTTACCGCCTTGTTGAGCAATATATAGTCTCCGACAAGGATGAGAACGGCAGGGTGGTCCTTCAGTTTTCGCACCTCCAGCGCGAGCTTCCTTTATGCCTTCGATGGCGCTTCGGCGTCTCGTGTGCCTCGAGCATGCGCGTCCAGCCAAAGCACGGTGGAAAGCAACGAGACGTGTGCTGGAGGCCGGACACTCGATACAGACGCCCTGGCGTCCTCGTCCTGTCAATGAATATAGGTGTGTTTGTAAACTTCACCATTGGGCTCGGCCTTGTACGCGAGTCCCAGCGTTCCGCCGACGAAATCCCTGTAGGTCCACAGGTACGAGAGGCAAAAGTCGTCGTGGTTGATCTTGGAAAGCTCGTGAAGCATGTGCGCCGAGTCCAGGTCAGACGCACAGAACGGATTGCTGGCCCGCTTGTCTGCGTCGCAGCTTTCTGAATTGTTGATCTGCACGTCGAACGAGCGCGAAAGCGTTTTGGCAGAGTAGCCAGACGCATGATTCATGAGGGTAAAACGCCAAAAAACCGCGGACAAAGCAGAAGGTAACATCAGAAATGGGTGTAGTTTTGTTGTTTTTTTTACTTTTGTTTTATGAAAACACGCGCATAAAATTTTAGAAACGAAAACCGGCTTGCATAACGGCTGTAGATATGATCCTTGATTCTTCCTTGGCGTTCATAATCTATGAAACGTGCGTTTGTACTTCTCTGTGCAAATATTAATAAAAAAAAAACTGGAGAAAAACTATTAGCGTTTGTCCCTTCAACAACCAGTTCATCTGGTGCCGGTTATATACCGCCAATGTTCATCGTATACTCACACGCTGAAGTTGGCAAAGCACAGACACGTTTTAGACAGTGATTCGGTTATTCCCTTCATTGCAGTGATTGGACATGGCCACTACCTGAGTGCTCGCCGAGGCATTGACTGTCACGAGCGCCAGTCGAGTGTTGCGCAGCGCTTGTGTCCAATATATGAGCCACATTTGAATGTCGTCACCAAATGGCAATCTCCGCAACTGTATACGCCCACACAGCGTTCCCGACTACGTCATCGTGTTTCTGAAAACCAGAGACTGAAAAAAAAGTTTTTGTCCTTTAAACTACACCGCAAAAAAAAAAAAATATCCCTTGTTAGTAAGTGAGAAAGATTCCTACCGTTGAACGGTTCCTTAAAGTGTTGTTGTTGCAAGACATCCCATGACAAGCTAGCTGCCATGGTCTGAACACGCCATCGAACTTGCAGTTCGTAACTGATGAAAAGTAATCGGGATTATGTAATAAAACGACTCATAATCTGGCCACGACCCCAATTGTAGGAGCCATACGATCGCGCATGAGCACACGCAGCAGGCGCGCGAAGTATACCTTTCACAAGCCTACAACCGCACATGCTTTCTTTTCGAATATAGGAACATGGCAGGGGCCAGCATGGCATTGGTTACAATTTTCTGTGCCATTTATTTTTGTTTTTGTTTTTAAGAGAGGAAGAGGTGTGCGTGTGTACAGCTTGGAGTCTGCATTAATCAGCGCTCAAGGTGTGAGACCGCACCCGCTCCTGAACTGTACTTTCCAAAAATCAAGAAAAAAAAACAACAAAAAAAAAACAGGTCGATGTTTTAACAGAATGTGTGAGCCGCTTTTCAGAAACCACGAAGTCAATCGAATGCATGCTTACTAAGACTCTCTGTATTTCGAAACTGATGTCGGCGATTCCAAGGAAGTCGGTGTTCCTGAACATGTCCGAGGCGGCTGTCACGTGACTGGTCAGCATGGCTATCAGACTTTCCTGAGTCTTGCCGGGGTCCAGGTGGGAATCCAGCAGGACGGCGTTGTAGAGCGTGTGGTCGATGTTGATCTCCAGGTTGCAAACCCGCTTCACCTTTTGCTGTCTCTTCTCGTTCCCAGGACTTCCCGTCATCCAGGGGCTGCGGGCATGGAAGTCCGCGCCTACTCCAGGCATTCGTCCCAGGACAGGGGAGTTCTGGCTCGGGACTGTCTCCAAAATGGAGCGCTTGGACCGTAGCAACTGGGTTGAACATAAGGCGAGTGCTTTTGAAAGAGGAGAGCACTTTAGGGACGTATTTATGGGTCAGGCACCGGATAAGGCGGGGGTGTCTGCAGGGAGGTTTGACGTCACGGGTGGAGCATTGCCCAGTTATATCTTGTTGACCTAATAACTGCCGTTTCGCTCAAAACGAGACACTTGTTCCTAAAAAAAGCTGGTGTATGTCTTTTTTATAAAAATAAAAGCCGTCCTTGAAAAGCTAGAGGAAAAAAGAGGGGGGGCATCGACCCCTCCCCTTTCCTCCCTGTTAAATCTGGCTCTGAAGCATCATTCTGAATAAGAAGAAAGGAAGAAAAGCTAACGTCATTTTAGTAGTTCCCGGGATTTTTTAGTGCAATATGCTGATATCATTATAAAAAGACGAGAAGTTAACTACTGTTGTTTCTAATTTTGAGATAATGGTCGGATCCCCGCGACCAGACATTCATTACGATCAGTAAGTGCGGTAGTTTACCGTTGTCCCGTTCCGACGTCCGTACTGACGTCGAAGGTCGTTCATCGACGCTTCGGTGGCACCGTGAAGACCACAACCGGACTGCAAGACGACGTCGCTGCCGGCGTAAATGATCGAGTGGAATCCGTGGTCGCCTTTGAGGTACCTGCTGGCAGGCTCGGCGTAGAACTCTTCGCTGGAAGTCTCGATCCTGCCGTGGAACACGCCGTCCAGGATTGAACCCACCACGCGACTCTTTGGAACTCCTGCGGCAAGCAGCACAAGACGACGTTAACCGTGTGTTTCTGGAGAGCCGATATAAGCATATACTGATCCGTAGAAGTTCTTAGAACAAAGATGGCGTACTCGCCGTCTCACGGTGGCAAAAAAAAAAAAAAAAAAAAAAAAAAAAACTTTGAGGACATTTAAGCTTCTCCTTCAAGAGTGGAACGCGATATGCAAAAAAAAGCTTTAGTTTGAAGGCGGGTGAAACTTGCTTTCATTGGGGTGGTTGGCGCGAAGCATAAAATTTTTACTGACATTGTCAAACCATGTCAGATGAATAGGAGACAAATTCGAAAATTATTTTAGTACTGAAACATTTGCGCCGCAAGAAAGACGATGACCAATATGGGTTCACTTTTCATTGTGTGAAAAGGGGTGGCCTCGACCTCTAAGGAAAATGTTGTTAACCAGATTAACCACACTCGCATTATTTTATACCTTTTAAAGGACAACTCCACTTCTTTTTTATGAAGTGCGAAATTATACAGTACTCTTTGTTATCATCTACAAAGCCCACATGGCGAATATTACGACGGAATTTCGCCTAGAAGTTCATTAAAATCGCTGTCAAAGTTTGACAAGCACGAATCCGCTGGTTTTGGAAGAGACGTGCGGACCGGACGACACTGCCCGGCTGCATTTCCGTTTCCTCCAAATTCCTTCTCCCGGCACGCCCGTGACGTCACCAAGCACGTGCAGTTTTTTTTTTTTTTTTTTTTTTCGTGGAGAGAGCACGGATGGCGCCAGTGCCGTGAGAGACGTGAGCGACGCGCTCGGCCGGCTCGGCGCTCGACTATTGATACCCTACTGATAGGCCAATCGCCTTGTTGAGCGCGGCTTGTGTTCAGTGCGTATTGACGTGCGATGGCACGTGCTTTACAGACGACGCGATGATGACTGCGAAACGCAAGTCCGCGTGATAGATCACGTGACCCCTTGTATATCACGTGGGTGTACATGCTTAGTGATGCCGAACATACAATGTTGTCCGGCTTTTTCACCGTTTCGGTTTCGGTTTGCGAATATGGCTAGAGTAACATTGCACGAAAAATATTTTATTTGTCGAGAAACAAAGGATTGGGGATTGTTTTTGAGTGCTTCTCAAAGCAAAATCGGCCACTATCTCGAAATTTTCGAAATTGAGCGGAGTTTCTCTTTAATTTAACTTGCTCTTATAGGTTTGGTTGGTGTCGCATTCCTCGACATATTTATTAAGAATACGAGGATTTACGTTTCTTATTGCTACATCATGTGTGATTGTCTATTTGTTTCCAGGTTTTTGTTTCCTTCTGGAGGCACACTACCATACATCAAATATTAAATGAAGCTGGAGGATGTTGGACTCGGATACACTTACCTATCAGATAGCCCGAATAGAGGTGGTCCAGACTGGCCTTCACCGGACCAGCGCTGGTGATTATGATAAGTTCGTCAGAGAAAGCCGATCGATCGTTGATAAGGCTCAGTCGAAAGCGTCTGAAAGTTTAAGGAAAATGCCAATCTCCATCCCGTAGCTCTCATTATTCTTGAGTTATGAAGCTTTTTCTTTTTCCCCTAGATTCACACTCGAAACGATCTTGCTTTCACTTTGATCAAGTGGCTTTTTTTTTTTTCTTGTTCATATTTTCATTTTTATTTTGCTGAGACAGAGTATAATATTGATGAGCGCCAAATATTTACCGCTTAGGTTAGGGCCCCGAATGTGAACTTTCTGCCCCGCTTGTAGATTTTATGACAGCCATTCAATTAAATTCGGACAAATAAATGAATACAGAATGGCCTTGGTTGCAATGTTCTATAGTTTTGTTCTAGCAAAAATTAGGTGACGTAGAAATGAAGCACCTTTTGAACAGACTCACTCGTCAACATTTTCAAATAAAAACCTTACTTTAAAAAGTAAATATCTGTTGTTGTTGTTTTAAAAATACGCTTTCCATACAAAATGTACCATTTATTGTAAGGCGAAAAGCAAAGCTTAATTGCTACAGATGTATTTAAATGCCTGAATCATTAACTACGATACAGATTGTATTTAGTATTTGGCAGCTCTGTCTTATTTGATATTAAATGGAACTGGTTTTGTTATCCCTTTTTTGTTTCAAGTTCTGTGATTTTCTACTTTTTCTGATGCATGATTAATTAATCTAATAATTCAACCAACCCAACTACCAGCCCTTCCACCGACTATACCTCAACTGACAGTTGATTTACCGACCGATTTGTATATCTTCGTCAAAAAAATACGACGAAGTAGCGAGATCTATGGAGACGAGATTTACACGCGGAGCAAGATGGGGATTGTAAGAGTACCCCCAGCCTGCGTTCCGAAAAAAAATATATTCCTCCCCCCCCCCCCCCCCTTTCTAAAAAAAAGTCTGTGCGTCTACTTTCACGCACAACACTCGGAGAGCCAATCAGCGCAACTTACGGAAGCAGCTCAGCGAATGACGATGCCGAAACATCTGTTTAGACCAAAAAACGCAGTCTGAGTTGTGACATTAAGCAATGCAAGCGTGACGCTTTGCATTGCTTAATGTCACAACTCAGACTGCGTTTTTTGGTCTAAACAGATGTTTCGGCATCGTCATTCGCTGAGCTGCTTCCGTAAGTTGCGCTGATTGGCTCTCCGAGTGTTGTGCGTGAAAGTAGACGCACAGACTTTTTTTAGAGTGTAGATGCAGTTTACAAATTAATCTGCAACCGTTTCCACTTTGGTTGGATGACATATTATCTTCTCGTTGAGGTTCAGCATTCGAAAATTAAATAACCGACGCTTCAACTCTGAAAAAAAAAAAAACTACTTTAAACTGTTATTAAATGTGGTGCTTGTCTTGACAGTCTATTAGGTTCGACGTTCAGTGGGTGAAATGCCATCCTACATCCTAAAAGAAATTTTGAGCGATTCCTCTCCTGCAAAGAACTTGGAAGATCCAATAGCTGCAATTTACAGGGGCAGATGACAAGACTGACAAACACCCAAATAAAAACAGTGTGCTCTGTGGAAATGAGCATGCACGCGGTAAAGTGAAATACTTTGTGCCACAACACAGATTTTTTTTTTCTTTTTTCTATAGGTCTCAAGCATGATAACGCCTTGTCATTCGCCGAGCTCCATCCGTAGATTGTAGCGATTGGCGCTCCCGAAAGGGATCTGCGAGAGATAGTAGTCGCTCCAGATATTTTAGGGTGTAGGCATGGTGTGGCATGGCTTTAGGGTGTAGGCATGGGGTGTGAAGCAGTTCAGGGTCATAACCTCTGGGATGGTGCACGTTGTAATGTGCACCGTCCCAGAGATCACGAGTCGAGGAGTAGGTACAGAAAGAGCAGTCCAGGAGGCTAACAGGACCATCAAGAGACTGAGCTGTAAGAACGAATATGAAGTCATGAATGTGAACAGGGAGGTATACCAGGGGAGTCCTACCCCCCCCCCCCCCCCCCTTTCAGCCGGGACGGCATTAACTATGGGCAACTGACGGGGATGGGGGTGGGCCAGAGGATGGGCTGTGCACTCTAATAAAAGGCCATGCGTCTGCTTTCCCGCGTCACACCCGGAGAGCCAATCACCGCAGCTTGCGGAGGCAGCTCAGCGAATGACAATGCCAAAACTTATGTTTAGACCAAAAAGCGCAGTCTGAGTTGTGACATAAAGGAAGGCAAAACGTCACGCTTGCATTGCTTAATGTCACAACTCAGGCTGCGTTTTTTGGCCTAAACAAATGTTTCAGCATCGTCATTCGCTGAGCTGCCTCCATAAGTTGCGGTGATTGGCTCTCCGAGTGTTGTGCGGGAAAAAAGATTCAAGGGCTTTTTTAGGAGCCGGCAGAGCCCGCCAGTAGCTGAGGGTTCAAACGCATATAGGAAGGGTAGGAGGAAGCTTTGCAGAAGAAAAAAGCAGCAGCTAAATTTGGGATTTATGACCATGCAGGGGGTAGAAATAGAATTAAGTGGGAAGGATTGCGAAACAATTAAATTATGAAGATTTTGTAGTGTACG